CGATCCTCAGCCGCCCTGAACTCCACAAGTGCCTCCCCGCCAACACCCTCACCCCTCCCCTCCATTGGCAAACCGACCCCACCAACAAGGAGCTCCTCTGCACCACCCCCGCCCTCGCCCGTGGCCTTACTGGCGACGCCTACCGCGCCATCCTCTCCCGCCCCTGTATCTGTGCTCAGCACCCGGAGCTTTGCGACCCTCAGCTCGGCCACATCCTCACTACTACCCCGTACGCCCTCTTCCCTGCCGAGCACCGCGACGCCCTCACGACCCTTTGGAACAAGGGCGCCAACTTCCGCCCCCACCGACCGCCACCCTGCCCCGAGGAGCTCCTCCAGCAGGTCCACGCCTGCGCCCTCACCTTCACACGCCACTACGAACGCCGTCAGCAATTGGGACGCGGTGACCTCGCCGAATGGGCTGGCCGCTTCACTGACATGGTCCAACATGCCATGGTTGCCGGACGTGAGCGCCCCTTCCACTGGCCCATTCTCACAGACCAGCAACTCCACGCTTTCCACAGCGCCCTCGGACCCCACTTCACCATCACCGGCACTGACAAGAGCTCGGCTACCCTGCAGGCCTCCTGTACGCGCTTCTATGTTGAACGCTGCACCAACGACCTCTACCAGCCCGGCCCCATCCCCAACTTCCCTCCCGGACTCCTGGTGGTCCCTGCTACTTCCTCATCACCCCCAGCTGCCCTCCCACTCCTCCCCGCTGCCGACCCCACTCTTCCACCACCCCCTCCCCCACCCCCTCCCCCTCCTCCACCCCCTCCCCCTCCCCCTGACCACCGCCATCCACCCACCCCACCGCCGCCAGCCCTCTCTCCCTACTACCGACCCTGCAGCCCAGTCTTCATGCGCGACACCCTCCTCCATCATAACCACAAGTTGGCCAAATGGCACCTCGCCTACACCACCGCTACCCGACACGATGGGCTCAATGTCTTCCACCCAGCTTACTATGCCGCTACGATCAAGATGCACAAGCAACCCCCGGCCTTACGCTTCCTCGCCTGCTCACACGCTTGCCCCTCCACCGCCATCAGCGACCTCGTCCACTGCATCCTTAAATCCGTCGATCCCCTCTTCCGGCAGCTGTGGAGTACAACTATGCGCCCAGCCCGCGATTCCTTCGAACCTTGGCACTGCTTCTCGTCGGCAGCAGCCATCCAGATGGTCCATCGGTACAACGCTCGCGGATACCCAGCCGCGGGTGTCGCACCCGACTCTACACCAACATCCCCCACAGCACCCTTAAGCAGACGATCTCCCAGCTCGTCCGCACCGCTGTTACCGCCCACCTCGCCCCTACCCATCCACCTCCTTCACCGCTCCCAGCTGCTTATATCATCGTCACCACCACTACCGATGCCTCCAAGCCCGACGCCAAGCCGTGCCATACTGTCGCCTTCTCCCGCGCCCAGCCCCCACCTCCCCCCTTCACACGCAACAGCACCTTTGGCAGCCACACCACCACCATTAAGCGTGTCTTCACCCTGGCCGATTTCGACACCCTCTTCGCCACGCTGCTGGATTCCACTTTCATCCGGTTCGGGCCCGCACTGGTGCAGCAAATCTGCGGCATCCCCATGGGTATCTCCGCGGCACCATTCATCGCCAACCTCTTCTTGGCCTGGTTCGAGTTCCAGTTCATGTCTCAGCGCGTTCGCACCAACCCGCCTCTCAGTAACGCCGCTCGCGACATCCTGGCCCGCTTCCGTGACATGCAGCGCTTCCTCGACGACCTCCTTTCCCTCAACAACCCGTACCTCGAGCACCTCCTCTACAACGACACAGTCTATGAAGGCTTACGTGGGATCTACCCGCCAGCGCTCACCGTGGAGGCCCAACGCCACGCCCACTTCCAGCGCGGAGAAATGCCTTTCCTGGACGTCTTGCTCGTCCCGGCCAATCGCGGCCAGAGTAGTTTCATCGTCACCAGGCTTTACGACAAGCGCAAGCAACCCGCCTTCGACGGCGTCCGCCTATCTCAGTTCGTTTCCCGGGACTCCAGTGTTAATGAGCCCAGTAAGGCTAACATCCTCGCTGGGCAGTTCCACCGGATACGCCATGTTGAGTCCGAAGCTGCCTCCTTCTGTGACAACATGGCCCATGCCCTCTGGCAGCTCAAGTGCGGAGGCTACTCCCGGATTCGTCTCTTCCGGCACTACGCACGGCTCTTGCATGCTCAACCCTTCTTGTACGCCGAGGAGCGCCGCCCCACACCTGCTCCCGGGCGCCGCCCTCAGCCGGGTATCAACCTATACCGCGAGACCCGTTCCCGCTTCCGTGCGCTGCAGCAAACATCAACCACATGACGGAGCTGTTCCCGGCCAAGGCTGCGGTTGTCCCCCGGGATCGATGGGTCGGGCATTGGGGCGAGTTTGGTAGTGCGTCGGTTCAGGGACTGGGTTGGGTCGGGCACTGGGTTGCGTCGGGCAATAGGGCGGGTCGGAGGCTGGTTTCGGTTGGGCTTTAGGTCGGGTTGGATGTAGAACTTTGGGGCGCGGCGGGGGCTGGTTTCGGTTGGGCACTGGGTATGGGTCGGGTCCCGGGTTAGTTGGGGCTGTGGTGCGCGTCTAGGACTGCGTCGGGCCGGGTTCTGAGGCCGTTTGGGCTTTGCGGCCGGTTGGGTATTCTCCGTTGTGGCACTGGGTCGGGCTTGGGTTTTGTGTTGTTGGGTTGTTGTTGTTGCCTAGTTTTTTGGTGTTCATAGGTTGGCGTTGCGCAGGGATGGGTTGGGGTTCTTCGCCTAGTATGGGCAGGTATCGGGCCTGCTTGTCTTCGCTGTGGTCGTCGTGTTGTGTCTGTCTCGTGGGCCTTGTGTGTCCGTGGGCTGGCGTTTCGCGCTTGGGCAGGGGCCTGTTTGTGTCAGACCCGCGGTTCCCCCTGTCTCCTTACTCACTGACCCACGGGTCCCCATACACCACTACGCATCGTGCACGTCCCTCCTTAGGACCGTAGGGTTGCTTGGACCGGCTCCCATGTTTGCACCCCATGGTGACGCCTTGTCTTACGGCTTTGTCATAGGCTTCTTTGCACCTGTACATTAGGGCCGGCACGATCACACTGCAGTGACCGCCCGGATGGCACTCAGTGTTGTGGGGATCTGTTCACACAGACCGCACACTGTTTGTCTTATGCACCATTAGTTTGCTGCCCTCCCGACCCCTCCTTCTTACTTCCCATTACTCTCTCACCAACCTGCCCTCCCATTATCTTTTTACCTTATTTCATCATTCGCCCCTCCCAACCTGCCGTACAGCATTGCCTTATATACTATTTCCAACCTGCATACTCCCCTTCCCATACGCCGCGCCGTTCGGTCCATCTTTCCCATCTAGGCTTAGGTTTAGGTCACAGGGAGTGTGTCGCTGTTCTTCTGCACTCGCATTTCCATGGACATGATAACCGCCTGGGCTGCCCCTTACCCTCCCTTTCCATATGTTCGCATGTACTACTACGCTGCTGGTCTTCACTTCTCGCGCCGGCCTCGTTCTACGTCCTTCGGTCGGCGGTTATTCATCCATTTCCAGGTAAGTCCGCTGGTTCTTCGTTTTAGCCCGTGCTGTCGTTTCGGTTTCGTCTTTTTGTTTGTTCGTCGGGTGCGGGTTCTGGGATTATTATGGACCGTCGGCGCGGCCGCCGACCCTCGATTCTTCGTCCACACCTTCCCAGCCTCCTTCCATGTTCCACCGACTCCTGGTAAGTACCACTTTTTGGAAAGTGCATTCTGTTCTTTCGGTTAAATTATATCGGGTAAGGTGGGATGGACCGGCTACCATGTTTGCACCCCATGGTGAGGCCTTGTCATACAGCTCGTCAGTTGCTTCGTCAGTGTCTCATCATCATATATATATTTTTTACCCACCCCCCTGCATGCCCCCACCTGCAGCTCCCTGCACGCCCCCCCCCCACCCCCCTGCATGCCCCCACCTGCAGCTCCCTGCACGCCCCCCCACCCCCCTGCATGCCCCCACCTGCAGCTCCCTGCACGCCCCCCCACCCCCCTGCATGCCCCCACCTGCAGCTCCCTGCACGCCCCCCCACCCCCCTGCATGCCCCCACCTGCAGCTCCCTGCACGCCCCCCCACCCCCCTGCATGCCCCCACCTGCAGCTCCCTGCACGCCCCCCCACCCCCCTGCATGCCCCCACCTGCAGCTCCCTGCACGCCCCCCCACCCCCCTGCATGCCCCCACCTGCAGCTCCCTGCACGCCCCCCCACCCCCCTGCATGCCCCCACCTGCAGCTCCCTGCACGCCCCCCCACCCCCCTGCATGCCCCCACCTGCAGCTCCCTGCACGCCCCCCCACCCCCCTGCATGCCCCCACCTGCAGCTCCCTGCACGCCCCCCCACCCCCCTGCATGCCCCCACCTGCAGCTCCCTGCACGCCCCCCCACCCCCCTGCATGCCCCCACCTGCAGCTCCCTGCACGCCCCCCCACCCCCCTGCATGCCCCCACCTGCAGCTCCCTGCACGCCCCCCCACCCCCCTGCATGCCCCCACCTGCAGCTCCCTGCACGCCCCCCCACCCCCCTGCATGCCCCCACCTGCAGCTCCCTGCACGCCCCCCCACCCCCCTGCATGCCCCCACCTGCAGCTCCCTGCACGCCCCCCCACCCCCCTGCATGCCCCCACCTGCAGCTCCCTGCACGCCCCCCCACCCCCCTGCATGCCCCCACCTGCAGCTCCCTGCACGCCCCCCCACCCCCCTGCATGCCCCCACCTGCAGCTCCCTGCACGCCCCCCCACCCCCCTGCATGCCCCCACCTGCAGCTCCCTGCACGCCCCCCCACCCCCCTGCATGCCCCCACCTGCAGCTCCCTGCACGCCCCCCCACCCCCCTGCATGCCCCCACCTGCAGCTCCCTGCACGCCCCCCCACCCCCCTGCATGCCCCCACCTGCAGCTCCCTGCACGCCCCCCCACCCCCCTGCATGCCCCCACCTGCAGCTCCCTGCACGCCCCCCCACCCCCCTGCATGCCCCCACCTGCAGCTCCCTGCACGCCCCGTCCAGCCGCACCATGGCCCGCACAATGGAGCCCTCCATCACGTCGGTCAGCTGCGTGATGGCGGAGAAGGGGGTGCCGCGAGCCCACTCGTACACCACCTGGGGGGGGTGGGGGGGGTGGGAGAGAGGAGAGGTTGGGGGTAACAATAAAGAAAAGCTGACGAACTGGCAGGAACTGGATGAAAAGGTTCAAGGAGAGCGGGAGAGAGTCCAAACCGCAAGTGAAACCACACGTTGGGGCAAAGCCATGGAAGGAAGGCGAGGCAGCAGGTGGAGTAAACCAAGCAACCTCATGACGACCAGGGACAAACCAACCCCCCTCCTAGCCTCCCCCTTATCCAACACCCCCGCCCCACCCCACCTCCATGAGCCCGCAGTGCAGCACCTCCGCGCAGTGCTGCTCCGGTTCCACGTCCAGCCCCGCGGCCCGCTGTACGGCGGCGGTGGCGGCGGTGAGGTCGTACAGCTGCTGCCGGGCCGCGGCGAGGGCGGGGGGCAGCCGGGGCTCCACATCGGACTTCTCCTGGGGGGGGGTAATGGGTGGAGAGGGGTTTAGGGCAGCGTGTGGCATGCGCTGCGAGGGTGAGGGTGGGTCGTGTGGGAGAGATCATGTGTATTTACCCCCCTCCCCCCACCCACCCCTCATTATATATATATTTTTTACCCCCCACCCCGTCACCCTCCCCCCCACCTGGAACACCAGCGCACTCAGCAGCGCCACCGCCTCCTCCGGCGCCAGCTGCCCCAGCAGGCCGCTGAACACCGCCTCCGAGGCAACCAGCTCGTCCTGGTTTGGAAGGGGGGTAAGGAAAGTGGGAGGGGGAGGAAAGGGGGTTACTGAGCGCAACGGGCTGGATTGGAGGTTCCCAGTCATGACGCCAAGAAGGGTCAAGAAGCCCTTGTTCAGAGGTGTCCCCATGCACCCAGGCCCCCTCCCCCTCACCCCACTTGCCCCTCCCCCCCGCACCTGAGTGGACTGTATTTCGCAGCACACCCGCCCCTTCAACGTCACCCCCCGGTCCGCCCCCAGGTAGCCCAGCTGCTGCAACACACCCACGCGCTGCTCGAACTCGGGGAGCTGGGGGGAGGGGGGGAGGGGGGGGAGGAGGGCTTGGTAAAGAGGAAACAACTGGCCGTGTGAGGGGTGGGGTGGGGGTGTTGCTAAGATGCAGCGTGTATGTACGACATGACATGACATGACACGCCATGACATGACATGACATGACATGACATGACATGACATGACGTGCATGCAGGGCTCTCTGCAGGCTCACTGCTAATCACGACCTGAAGGGGTGCATGCAGCAGCGCTGCACGGTGGCACAGCAGCACTGCTGTGACCCTGGGCTCCCGGCTCCTGCCCACCCCGCTGGGCCCCAGGGTCCGACAAGTGCCTTCCCCCCACCCCCAAAAGACAACATCCCCCCCCACCTGTTGCAGGCTGGCGTCGCTCAGCTGGTGCCGCAGCTGCGCGATGCGGCGGGCCAGGCGGCGCTGCGTGCGGACCAGCTGGGGGGGGAGGGGAGGGGGAGGAGGGGGAGGGGTGAGGGGTGGGGGGGGCTTAGCTAGCTAAGAAGGTGGTGGGAGGCAGCACACGGAAACCATGTCGGCTGCTGTGAATCAAGGTACCGGCAGCAGCTACAGAACTCCTCCTTCGCTCTTTACCCAATAGGCTACATCCCTCCCCCACTCCCCTCCCCACCCCACCTGGAATGCCTCCACCAGCCCCGGGTCCCGATGCGGCCTCAGCGCCGCCCGCCGCCCCAGCAGCGCCCCCCTCGCCATCAGCAACTGTACGGCACCCACATCCGAGATCTTGAAATCGACCCGTGGGTCAAGCAGCGGCAGCTCCCCACCCCCCTCGCCTCCTGCCCCTCCCCCTCCTCCTCCCGCTGCTGCCGCCTCGTCGACCGCTCGTGCAATGCCCCGCAGTGCCGCTGCGAGCGCCCGGCGGACGGGGGGAGCAGCCCAGTCGCCGCCGCACCGCAGGATGTCCTCCGCGCCGTCCAGTCGGAGGCGGGCGCGGCACACGCCGGTGATGGATCTGCGGAGGGGGGGTGGGGGGTTTGGAGGTGTGTGGGGTTTGGGGGGGAGGGGGGTTGGGGGGTTAGGCCGCCAGGATGGCATGGGCCGTGGAAACACTGACCCGGACCGGCGGATACCGGAGGATAACGGAAGAGGTGGTGGGAGTGGAGTGGAGGGTGGGAGGGGGGTTGCTGTGTGAGGTATGGTGACCCACGCGGTGCGAGCCTCCCAACCCCCCGCCCCCCGCCCCCCGCCCTCAAGAACACTTCTTGCGCTGGGGGCCAATGCCAACCCCTCCAGCCCCCCACACCCACCTGCCCATTTCGAGAGTAGCCATACACACACGTTACCCCCCCCGCCCCCCCCACCTGCTCCCCTCCGCCACCAAGCAGTACTGCAGTCCCGCCTCGGCCCCGTAGTGCGGCACCGGCAGCGGCCGGGAGGGGGCCGGGCTGCTGCCTCCCCCTCCCCCACCACCCCCCTTGGCCCCCTTGCCGCCCAGCTGCACCAACCCGCTGAACATGTCTGGAGGAGGAGGGGAAAAGGGCGTGAAGGGCGTGAGGATGAGGATTGTACTCAAGAGCGAGGCGGAGAGGGAAAGGCAGCGGAAACACACAGCGAGATGTGTCCAGCAGCAATGTATGTGGGGCGCAACGGGAGGCGGGTAAGCCGTGTGCCGCCGGGAGGGGGAGGCAAGTCAGGAGGCGGCGGAGGAGCAAGGCGCACAGACCCAGTGGGGTATCCCTCCTTCCCTCCCAGCTCCCAACCACACATCAACATGAACCATGCAAGCACACCCCACCACCCTCCCCTACCATTCCCGTCACCCACCGTCCAGCTCCTGCTGCTTCCGGTTCTGCAGCGCCGTCATACCACCCAGCCCCCCTGCCCCTCCCCCTCCCCCTGCCTTCCCCTCCCTGCCCCGCCGCTCCTCCTCCCCCGCCGCCTCATGAGCCGCATCCACACTGCCAGGCCGGTGCAGCACCAACAGATACAGCCGCCGGTCGCTGCTGCTGCTGCTGCTGCCGCTGCCAAGACTGCTGTTGAGACTGCCGATGCCAAGATTTGTCGTACTACCCGCACCCGTACCGCCCAAGAAAGAGGTGGAGGTGGGGTTGGAGGAGGAGGAGGAGGCGAAGGCGGTGGAGTTGGTAAGGGGGGTTCGAATGACGGAGGAGGAGGAGGAGGAGGCGGAGAGGGATGCGGAGGGCGGTGGGGGGGCGGGAGGTGCCTCCCCCAGCACCACCGCCGGTTCGGTCAGTCCGTTGACTGGGTTGTTGAACAGCACCAGGCGACCCGGTTGCAGGGAGGACTGGACGGACTTGTTGGAGGAGAGCAGGTCCTGGGGAGGGGAGGGAGGGGAGGGGGAGAGGGGGGGAGGGGGGAGAGGGAGGCGGGGAGGGGTGGGTGGGGGGAGACGTAGGATGGGGAGGTGTTAGTAACACAATGTGGTCGCATGTTGGCGCGCGCATGTCCAGCTCGTACGGGTAACAGCTCTGTAACGACACGGTGTATTGCGCACCCCTCCCCTCCCCCACCCTTACCTGCAGCCTCCCCTCCATCTCCTCGATCTCCTCGCACACCCCCACATACTCCTCCACCTCCTCCCGGCTGCACCCCAGCCCGGTGGCCGGCCAGCCCGCCGCCCCCGCCGCCGCCAGCTGCGAGGTGAGGGCGGCCAGCTCGGCAGCCCCCGCGGGGGCGGAGCGCTGCGCGTGGAACTCGGCAAAGGAGCGTTTCAGCATGTCCTCCACCTGGGGGGGGGGGGCGGGGGGGGGGGGGTAGGGGGGGGGGGAGGGGGTAGGGGGAGAGGCCAGGTGGTTGGTGATGGAGCAACCGGGGTAAAGAGATGGGCCGAACGGGTAAAGAGGGTAGGCAACCGCACATGTGCGGGCGGGGTTCAGGGAGCTGGTAAAGGCACTGGAGCGGGGTTTTGGCAAGCTGCTGCTCTCCCCGCCCTTACTGGTTTCCTATGGTTTGGTCTACCGGTATTGAGCCCCCCCGCTGCACCCCAGGGCGGAGCCTGCAGGTGGCGGTACACCTCCTTACGCTCCTCCTTCCTGCCCCCCCCCCAACCGCCCCTCACCTTGAGATCCTCCACCCGCAGCAGGTTGAGGATCATGCCGTACGTCAGCCTGAACTGGCTCTCCAGCCGCACCCCCCGCCCCGTCAGCATGCCCCGCAGCTCGCTCTCTCCCACCATGTCCCGACCCGGACCCCCGCCCGGCCCCCCGCCGTTGTCCCACACAGCCAGCAACACGTGGCCCACGGCGTCCAGACCGCGCCGACCCGCACGACCTGGGGGGGGGGAGGAGGGGGGAGGAGGCAGATTAGGGAAGGGGAGGGAGGGGAGAGGAAGGAGGGGAAGCGGGTCAAAAAGACCAAACCAAAGGAAACCACGCATTGGAGGGAAGAAGGGACGAGGAAGAGGTTTGGGATGTGGCGATGTGGGCAGCGGTGTGAACACCGGCGTTAGGCTCAGCAGGGGGGTGCCGAGGGGCCGGGGGCCGCAGCGTGTGTCGTACCTGCCATCTGGGTGTACTCCCCGGGGAGCAGGTACCTGCAGCAGGGAGGGGGCGGGGGCATAGGTAGGCGGGGAGATGAAGGTGGGAGGGGTCATAGCTTGGGGGGCGGGGGCAGAGTGGGTGGGTGGGTGAGCAGTGTGTGGTTGCTTCCGCACCCGCTGTGTGGCTGCCGCTGTTGCTGTGGGGGCCGCATGCGAGTGTGGCTGCTGCAACACAACGGGGACCCCCCCCAGCCCCCCTCCCTAGCCGCCCCCCCCCCTGCTCCCCACTTCCCCCTCCCACCCTGTCTCATTAATTCTTTTATCCCTCCCCCCTGCCCCCCCCCCTTCCCTCACCTGAAGTTCTTGCCGTCATGTTTCCTCAGCGAGTGGAACACCACGGTGCGGGTGGGCGCGTTCACACCCATGGCGAATGTCTCCGTGCAGAACAGAACCTGGGGGGGAGGGGGGTGGGCGGGGTGAGAATTGGGGAGGAAAAGCAGTGAGAGGGGCAGTGGTGGGACGGGAGGTTAGGGGGCCGCCGCGGGTATGCACAGCAGTCCCACGCGTGGGGGTGTGTTTGGGGGTGGCGTCAACAGGGCTGGTCAGGGCTCATCACAATCGCCAGGGCTCATTGAAACGAATCGAACAACCCCACCAGGATACCTCGTCCACCTCCCTCCTCCCCCCCTCCCCCTCCCCCCCTCCCCCCCACCCCACCCCCCCTACCTTGACATACCCCTGACACACCAGCATCTCCACCACCTCCTTCATGATGGGCAGCAGACCCGCGTGGTGTACGGCAATGCCCCGCCGCAGCAGCTCGCGCAGGCGCAGGATCTGCGGCAGCTGCCTGTCCCCCTCCTTGAGCCGCGCCAGGCAGCGCTCCAGGAAGGAGTGTACGGCAGCCTTCTCGCTACCCGAGGAGAGGTCCAGCGAGGAGAGGTGGTCGGCGCAGGAGTCACATCTGGAGAGGGGAGGGGAAGGGGGAGGGAGAAAGGTAAAGTGAAGCAACGGAGCGGAAGAGGGGGCGTGGAAAAGAAGAAAACCCAATGCGTGGAATGAGGAAGGGAAGGGGGAGGTCTGGTTTTGCAACGGATAGCAACATGAGCAAAGGGAGCGACCCACAAGGGGAAGTGCGAGGTCACGCCTGCAGCACAGGCGGGTAGACGACGTGTGGAGCATGCCGCCATACACACACGTGTGCTCCGTCCCCCATACACGTAGTTCTACACGTACACACATGTGCCATCGTACACACACACGTGCACTGCCGCCGTACACACGCGTGTGTGTGTATGTCGTACCCGCTCACCTCTTCTTGCTGAAGCAGAACACCGCCACCGGCAGCATGCCCCGCTTGTTGAGCAGCCCCACCAGCTCCATCAGCTGCTGCCGCTCGCCGCGCTGACCCGTGGGTCCGCTGTTGGGGCCGCCGCGGGAGGAGGCGCCTGGAGGGGGGGTAAAACATTATATAAGAAATGCAAACAATTAAAGTCCCAAACCCATACCTCCCACCTGGGCTGGGGGTGGCAGGGTGGGCTAGAGGAGGCGATTGGTCCTCCCACCACCACCCCCCTTCCCCCCGACCTCCTCCCACCACCACCCCCTTCCCCGCGACCTCCTGCACGTCCTACCCCGCCCATGCATCCCGGCTTCCATGTCTCCGCCCCTCCCCACCCATCACGTCCCCTTTCGTGTTACCAAACACGTCGCGCATCCCTCACAACCCCCTCCCCTCCCCTTCACCCCCACCCGCACCTCCCCCCCACTCACTCGCAATCTCCTTGCGCGCCTTATCCGCTCCACTCGGCGGCCCGCCCTTGTACCCACCTCCGCCTCCTCCGCCTCCGCCTCCCCTGCCACCTCCCCCTCCACCTCCACCACCTCTCCCAGCAAACCCGCCGCCCCTCCCTCCCCCTCCCCCTCCCCCTCCCCCTCCCCCTCCCCCTCCCCCTCCTCCTCCTCCTCCTCCGCCGTACGAGCCCTGCTGCGGGTCATTGCGGGCCTTGTACGCCGCCTGCGCGCGCCTCACGCCCTCGGGGTTGAACACCTCGCGGCTGCAAATGGGGTACAGCTCGCCCGCGTGGTAGAGCGAGTGCTCCAGGGGCACGGGGCGCTTGGTGGTGCCTGCGTGCGTGTGTGTGTGTTTTGGGGGGAAGGGGAGCGGGGGGGGGGGAGAACGTGTGTGTATTGCGGAGCGGCACCGTGGGGGCACGCTCGAGGAGTGCGTGGAGGCACCTTCGCAAAGAGGTTGCGCCGCCCTCCCTACCCCACTCTCTACCCGCCCCCTCCTCCCTCCCTACTAGCATATCCTACACACACACCACCCCTCCTCTCATTCAACTCATTGGGTATCCTTCTTCTTCCCCCCTCTTCCCCCCTCCCTCCCCCCCTCCCCCCACATACTACCTGTCACGTGTATGACCTTGCGCTTGGTGCGCCCCACCCAGTCCGCGAAGTCCATCACGTTGGGAACGGTGGCGGACAGCAGCACCAACGTGATGTGCGGGGGAAGCATGATGATCACCTGGGGGGGGGGGAGGGGGGAGAAACACACACACGGTCAGCTCGCACCCAGGCAGCTGTCAAGCCGTAAGAGAAGCACTGCGATTCCGCCCACCTGCCCTTCCCTCTCTTTCACACACACACCGTTCCCCATACCCCCACCCACCCACCTCCTCCCACACCACCCCCCGGTCCACGTCATTCACGTAGTGCACCTCATCGAACACCACCACCTCCACGTCGCGAATCAGGTCGGCACCCTGGGGGGGGGGAGGGGGGGAGGGGGGAAGGGGAGGGAGCGGAGAGAAGGGGGGAGAAACGGTGTGTGTGTTAAGAGAGGGAGGGGCAGGTGGGCGGAATCGCAGTGCTTTTCTTACGGCTCGACAGCTGTCTGGGTGCGAGCTGGCGATGTGTGTGTGTTTCTCCGCCTGCCCAGACAACCCACCCTCTCCCCCCCTCCCCCTCCCCTCTCCTCCCCCCCCCTGCAGGAGACCCCTACCTTGTACAGCATGGATCTCAGGATCTCGGTTGTCATGATGAGGCAGGGCGCGGTGGGGCGCACCTGCACGTCGCCAGTCAGCAGGCCCACCTGGGGGGAGGGGGGGGGGCGGCAGGGGGGCGGCAGGGGGGGAGATGTGGGGAGACAGCAAGGGGGTGGAGGGGGGGAAACAGGAGGCATGGGTGCGGCTTCCCCAAAGGTGGTCTGCAGCTGCATCCAGACTGGCAGGAGCTAGGACTGCTAGCCGCCTCGCAACAGCAGCGGCAGCAATCCTCACTGCAGCCACCTCTCTCCTCCGTCCCCTGCCCCCCTGCCCCTGCCCCCCGCCTCCCTGCCCCCCTCCCCCCCCCACCTCGAACTTGGCGCTGAAGTCTCGGAACTTTTGGTTGGATATGGTCTTGATGGGCGAGGTGTAGATGGCGCGGGTGCAGTGGCGGGTAGCCAGCGCGAAGGCGTACTCCGCTACCACCGTCTTGCCGGCGCTGGGGGGGAGGTGGGGGGAGGGGGGGGGCGGAGGGTGGAGGGTGGAGGGGAGGGTAACACACCCCCGACGGGCAGGAGGGGAAACAAGAACAGGTAGGAACGAGGGAGCAAGGAGGGGGAGTAACACCCCTCCCCCCCACCTGGTGTGTGCCGCCACGAACACGCTCCTGCCCCCCTCCAGGTGCAGCACCGCCTCCTGCTGGAAGGCGTCCAGCTCGAAGGGGAAGTGCAGCGCCAGCCGGGGGCGCAGCTGGGGCGGGAGGGGGGAAGGTTGAGATAGGTAGAGGTGCTCAAATAGGGGAGACAGAGGCAGAGGCAGAGGCAGGGGAGGGAGCCGCACATACGCACCTAGGGTGCGGCCCCGCCTGAGTACCCCTGGTCCCTCAGGTCCTTCAGGTCCTTTCCCCCCCCTCCCCCCCACCTCGTTGAACTGCTCCTCCACGTTCCGGATGCTGTTGCGCGCCGCGAAGGGGTGCTCGGGACTGGTACCTGCTACCGGGGTACCTGCCCCTCCTCCTGCCCCTCCTCCCACCCCTGCCCCCGCCCCTCCCTTCCCCGCCTGCTGCCGCTGCTGCCGTCCCCCCTCCGCCCCCTCTGCCCCCACCCGCCCGCTGTCTGCCGCCGCCAACACCTTCGCCAACCGCCCATCCTCCCCCGCCGCCTGACCGCTCATCTCCACATCCGCCAACACCCCCTCCTCCCTCCCCTCCTCCTGCTCCCCAGCTTCCCTCTCCCCCTCCTCCTCCCCAGCCCGCAGCAGTTCCGGCTCAAGCCAAAGGTCCGCAAAAGTACCCGTCACGCCACCTCCTCCGCCCCCCAGCACTGCCGTACCGCTCCCAACCCCCGTGGCAGTCGCTCCGAAACCGCCCTCCGCGCCCGCCTCCGAGGCAGCAGCAGCCGCCGCCCCTGCCGACAGCGCCTCCGCCAGTGGGGTGATCCGTTCTCCAGAAGGGGTGGTGAGGGTGAGGGGGGGCAGGAGAGAGGCTGGATGCGGGGGTGGAGAGCAGGGGGAGAGGGGGAGGGAGAAGCAGGGTGAGTGTAGGTGGCTTTAGGGGTGTGGGACGTGGGACGTGCGCGAGGGTTGCAAACCCGCTTAGCGGGGTGCGGGACATGGCGCGGATGGGGCGGGATGCGGGAGGATGCACGCTTACCACTGCATGCGCGCCCCCCCTCACCACCACCGCCACCACCCGCCAATAATGCCCCCCCCCGCCCCCGCACCTGTAGCCCGACCCGACCCCGCAGCAGCCGCCACCTCCCCCACGAGCAGCCCCTCCTCCTCATCCTCCTCCTCCTCGTCTGCCGCTGCCCATCCGCCGAACAAGCCGGTGCCCAGACCCGGAGCCGCAACACGCGGCCACCGACCCACGGGTCTTCTCCTCCGCCTCTCCTCACCGCCACCGACCCGCGGGTCGTTAGCAGCAGCGCCGACCCACGGGTCACCCTCAGCCCGGATCTCCCCCAGTCCCGCCTCCAGCTGCGCCAGCCAGCGGCCGCTGAGCGCCTCCGCGGCGGCTGGACCCGAGGGGCCCTGTACGGCAACATGGCCGCCTGGGGTGGGGAGTGGGGGGTGGGGGGTGGAAGTGGGGGGGTGGGGTAAGGGTAGGGAATGGGAATGGGGAGTTTAGGGAGCGGCGGGTTGGTTAAGTGAAGGGTTGGTTAAGGAGGGGTTCGCTGGGGCCGGGCCCTCCAGTGCTGCTCCAGCACGCCCGACCTATCTTGTACTAACAACCCCCGCCTACCAGCACCCAGCGTGTATTGTGTCTCAAACCCGCCACCTCCGTGCCAAACCCATGCCCCCCGTCCCCCAGCCCCCTCCCTCTCCCCCGCCCCCACCGGGCATGTACGGCAGCGACACGGACAGCCCCCGCCAGTCGGCCCCGCCCCCGCCGCCGCCGCCTCGCGCCGCCAGCCGCCGCTGCAGCGCTAGACTGTCAATGCGACCCACACCGCCGCCGGGGTGCGCTGTCGTACCACCAGGCCCTCCTGCTGCCGTACCACCATGCCCTCCTGCTGCTGCTGTCGTACCAGCATTCAGATCCAGCAGCTGCCACCCCACCTGGTGCTCCGGGCCCCCCGGCGGCGGCGGGGTGGGCTCAAGCAGGGCGGAGGGCAGGGAAACGTCGGGCCAGGCGGGGCCGCGGGGGAAGAGGGTCAACAGGGGGTGCGCTGCGGAGGGGGGGCAGCGGAGGGAGGAGGGGAGGGAGGTGAGAAGGCGGTGGCGGGGCGGAGGGCCCTGCTGGGCTGTCCGGGGCCGCTGCATGGGGGGGGCCGCATGCGCCCCTCGCTGCATGGGGGGGCTGCAGGCTGCAGGTGGGGGTGGTGGAGGGGGTTAATAGGGATGAATTACGCTGGATTTTCCTTGCTCATTCACGTCTGTGCCTTCCTGTCTCCCACATCACGCCCGGGTGCGACGACCCCGCCCTGCACCCCCCTCCCCTCCCCACTCCCTCACCCGCCTCCGCCAGCAGCTCCCCCGCCAGCACCGCCGCGGTATCCTCCGCCAGGTAGGCCGTATGTACGGCAGCGGTGGCGCCGCTGCTGACGCCGGCAGCGGAGCCGTTAGTGCCGTACCCGGCAGCGGCGCCCGGCAGCAGGCCCACGAGGTTCAGCGGGGGCGCCTGGGGGAGCAGCGGGGGCGGGGAGGAGGAGGAGGGGCGGCAGGGGATCAGGGAGGGAAGGAGGAGGGAGGAGAGACGAGGAAGTGTGCGGGAGGAGGGAGAGAGTCTTGGCTTGGCGACGCGCAAGAGGCATCTGCAACACCCTTCAGGAGTTAAACACTGTCAATTGACCTCCAAGGACTCTTGCGCAGGTTGACGGGGAAAAGGAGGCGAAACGGGATGATGCGCCTTTGGGCCTTAAGGGAACAAACATCCCCGAAGGCCAATCCAGATGGACTATACTGGCAGCCGTGGTCAGTTTACGAAGCAAAAAAGGCCTGGCTTAGCTACCTGTACTAAAGGAGGCAACAGCTCCCCTTGTGATGGCACCAGCATAGCATCCCCACTCGCTCCATACAACAGATCCATGTTGGGTAAAAGCTCCGCTGGCATGGCCGCAATGACGCATACGCCAAGGCGAAGCTAATGTGAGCTTCAATTCTTACTCCGTTCCAGCTTTCGCCTTCAGATCACAACAAGCAAACACAACAACCGAGCAATGTCGACGCCGTTTGTTTCCTTAACGACTTGACAATTTGGCAAGCAGTGCAACGCGCTCCAAAACGCTTCCGTACATGGTTAACAGTCGTTACTTGCACAGCGTCACGAGGGCCTCGCGTAAGCCTCGCCTATGTTCCACATAAGGTGGTCCGGGCCTTATGTGGAACATAGGCGAGGCTTACGCGAGGCCCGATCTTCGTAGCCAACATTGCTTAATTCCTCAATGAAAGTACGACAGGCACCTGGGCGGCAGACAGCCGGACTTGGCGGGAGATGGTTTCGAATTTACTCCGACCAAAGTGACATACTCCTCGGCGGCTGTGAACACTGGGTTGCAAATAAAACGTGGCAACGCCGTCGAGTTCTTTAAGCAGTTGATTACGAGCGCTAGCCTCTAAGGATTGTTCATCTTCATAACACAACGCTTTAGGTTACAGGTGCTCCCTACGGGAAGTCAGCGGAAATGAACGGAAACGGCACAGTGTCCATTGGGGAACCTGCACGGCCTAAGCGGAAGTATGCCCGGAAGGCACCAATTAAAAAGCAGCTTCAGGAGCAAGCTGCTGCTGCGGCTGCACAGGCCGCAGTCGCACACGAGGATGGAGTTGCTTCGCAGGCGGCCGAGCCCGGCACGCAATCGTCCAACCCGCTGGACGTAGTACTAACGCGGGCCGACGCGGCTGTAATGTTCAAGGGGCTAGCCGACTTTATTGCCAGCAACGCTCTTGGAATCGGTCGTGGCGCCGAGGTTGTTAGTAAGCTGCTCCTGCATCCGGAGCAAGCCTCAGCGCGGGGCTTGCCCAGTAACGGGGCAAAGCAGATTGCTGCGTATACTGAGACACAGAAGACAACAAAAAAGAAAGCTGACAAGAAGGAGAAGCAGCCCCGGGCTCCCACCGTCTACAACATTTACCAATATTTCTGCATGAAAGTGCTGCCCACTCTTGACCACCTGCCTATCGTTCGGAAGCATCGCGCGGAGGGGACCCGCTTTGACTTCAGGTTTTCCGGGAAGTTCTGGCAGCAAATTAGCAAGGAGGACAAGGTAGGCATCCCATAACCAACCCCGCGTCAAGCTCAGGTTTCCCTGCCATGCTCCTGGCGCTGTCCAGGGCACCTTGAGTACCACATGCCGATTTCCATCACACCCCGCACCCCCATCGTCATCATAGTAGCTACTCGAAACGCTTTTCTGCTCCTCCGTGCCGTAACTCCCGGTGCCACCCCACCCTGCCACGTTCGCTCGCTACCCCCCCTTCCATGCCTCTCTCCTCCCTTACCCATGCCTCTCTCCTCCCCCTTGCCCCACCCCTCCCGCCCCCCGCCCCCCCCCCCAGGACCTGCTGACCCAGCGGCTGCAGCCCCTGCTGGAGGATGCGGCTCGCGAGGGGCAGGGGGGCATCGACGCCATCATGGAGCGGGTGCGCGAGATGGAGCAGCGCAGCCCGCAGGACTCCCTGGTCAGCTTGCTGAAGCTGGACCGGGAGGTGCCGGGTGAGGCGGGTGAGGGGGGGGGGGGGTCAGGAACAACTGGCACGTGACGCAGACCTGCACGGTCTCAGCGCTTTTCACCAACCTGCATAGCTGACATGTGTACGACAGGACCTAGTGCTGTCGGGTGTACGACAGGACCATCACCACCCCCCTGCTCCTAACGTTCCTGATGTGCTTCCCCCCGCTCCCGCTCTCCCCCCCCGCCGGCATTTCAGTCCTGGGCGGCGCTCCGGCCGGCGCTGCTGCTGCTCCTGCTGCTGCTGCGGGTGCGCTGGAGGGCCCCGCCGCTGCTGCTGCTGGGGGGGCGGATGCCATGGACGTGGACGGGGAGGAGGAGGAGGGCAGCGGTAGCGAGGGTGGCAGCGACAGCGATGGCAGTGAGGAGGAGGAGGATGACACGGAGGAGGAGGGGGTGAAGCCTTCGAGCGCTGGTGAGGAGGAGGAGGAGCAGGTTGAGGAGGAGGAGGAGGAGGAGGAGGCGAACGGCAACACCACCACCGGCAGCGGCGAGCCGTCTGGATCCGAGTCTGAATCCGAATCAGGATCTGGGTCCGAGTCCGGATCTGAATCCGAGTACGACTCTGCGGATGAGGGCGACGAGGCCGCCGATGTGGCCGCTGCCGCTCCTGCTGTTGTGGAGCCGCAGCAGCCGGCAGCTGGGAGCGAGGAGGAGGAGAGTGAGAGCGGCAGCGAGGACGGTGACGGCTCGCCCTCTGGCTCCCCCTCTGGCTCGCCCTCCTCTAGTGAGCAGCGGGAGACGAGTCCGGAGGGCTCCACAGGCCAGGAGGAGGAGGCGGAGGGGAGCAGCGAGGAGGAGGCGGAGGGGAAGACCACCGGCACTGGCACCGGCAGCGGCACTGCTAGCGGCAGCGGCTCAGAAGAGGAGGAGGGCAGCGGTAGCGGTAGCGATTCAGAGGGTGAGGACGGTAGCGAGGAGGGCTCGGAGAGCGGTTCCGAAGAGGAGGAGGAGGCATGTGCGGTGGCAGTGGTGACGCCCGCTGCGGGGGTGGTGTCGGGTGGGGGCAAGCGGTCCGTGGTCGGCGGCACTCCCTCTGCGGGCGGGGGCGCCACTCCGGCAGCTGCGGGGGCGCAGGGGGGCTCGGCGGACAAGAGGTCCCGGCGGTAGAGCTAGGCGGGTGAGGGAAGGAGGAGGAGACGGAGGAGAGGTGTTAACAAGAGGGAGAGAGGTGCGGTAGCGGTTAGTGGCGCCGGCAGTGGCAGTTTCTTTGCGGGGAGTGGTGGGGTTGCTATGCTGTCGGCGGGTCTTGACTTGTCGAAAGGATGTAATGGCTTGGTCTGCACGTTTGATTTCTTGCTGCTGCGGTTGATGTGCGTGCGCTTGCTAGCAGAGTGTTCTTTCTCCGCTTTTCCGAGGTGTCCTGGCCACATAGCAGGAGTGCAAGAGCAGGCTTGTCTTGTCGGGGTTACAAGGTACCGAAAGTAACGTTACGGCGTTGGGTTCCTTGTTTACTGGTATATGTGATTGCCTTTGGGGTGCTACCCTCGGAGGCTGCTTAGGCGGTTGCTTTCCGGACATCAGACTTCTTACGCCGCCTTGTGTTCAGCAGCTTGTTTATCGCGTTGTTTTGCTTGGTTACGCCGTCGCCGTTCCTATTTTACCACCGGTAGCAGTGCTTTAAACCGGACGTTTGCATAAAGTACGGCATGCACCTTGCTTCTTGGACGTGTACTTGTAGTTGTTTCTGATATCGCACGGGATGCGCCTCGGGTACCTATTGACGTATGCTGCACTGGTTTCACGAACGGGGTTAGTGTGCCTGAGGGGACGGCTGTCATGTTAGCATGTGTTGTTGGTCTGCGCTTCTGGCAGAAAGAGGCGTCGTAATGGGTTTCGCGGGGTTCGCGCATGCGGCGACTGTATTTAAGGAACCGAATTTAAGCGGGTAAGGCTTTAACCGTTGCCGCGGAATTATTGTCGGCGTAGCATCGGACAGTCGTCCGTGGGTCAATGGTTGTCATACCTCCAGAAGCACACGCCACAGACTATACCAGCACGGCATGTGCGCTGCAATTATGAGGATTGTCCCGGGTAAGCAAGGCCAACACAGCTGCGCACCTTCATGCATATCTAAGGGTCGTACAGTTAGAGGGCTAAGCACTTGCAGCAGTTTCATTTCCTTTTGTGGCTCTGATCTGCATATTAGTATTACTACCAGCTTTCAATAAACGGACATAAAGTTCTCTTAGCTTGCTGAAGACCATCTATTGCTGCTGCCATGGACGATGACTTAGAGATAAAGGGACCGGGTTATGACCCTATAGCAGACGAGTTTGCAACGTGAGTAATTTTCGTTACAATTACCAGCGGCTTTCTCGGAAAGTAAATGAACACACTTGCTTTCGCAGATACGAGGACTACCTAGACAGCCAAATCAATAGCACAGACGTTTATTACTTGGAGGATGTGGAGCTTGCGCGACAGCTGGTGGAGCTTGGGTAAGCATTGCCCATGGTTCCTGAATTTGGGTCATGAAATGCGAGTGCTCCGCGTCGCCCATATGCCACCAGGGGCCGCCAGGCGCTAAAGCTGTGGTGTCCTAGCCTTGACGCTCCTGCCACGGCTTACCAGCATCTTAATCCCACCTCCATGTTTTCTCGCAACCCGGCAGGATACGCGGGAATGGCGAGGTCATCCGGAGAGAGGAGTTCGAGCAGCGCAAGGAGGCTTCGGAGCAGGCGCGGCAAGCACGGCTAAACAAGAAGCCCAAGAAGCTCGCCTCTCAGGGGAAACACGTGGAGGAGTTCCCGCTGCTGCAGGTGGGAGGCTGGGGGAGATGGGCCCAAGTAGGAGTGAATCACCAGTAGGAGCGCTCCTGACGTGTTTGGAAGATCGCAAGGGTCGGGGTTCAGGGCACGGCCGCAGCCTCAGCAGCACAGCGACAGACGGCTGCATGCGGCCGCCTCACCTGTCGCCCCAGCAGGGCCGCAGCGCTCGCACTGCTTCCCTCCGGCAGCACGCCAGCCAGGGCACCCGGCCTGCCCGGCTGCCTAAGCCCGCCCGCCCGTGTTGATGTGTGGGCAGCTGCCTGGGCGAGGCGGGCAGCTGCAGGGGGTGCGGTGCGGTGCGGTGCGGGCGCCGCATGGTGGGGGCACGACTGCATGGCGGGCTGGAGGGAGAGCACCCTATGGAGGGGTAGCACCCGGCTGCACCCTACCGCACTGCGGGGCACCCCCCCCTTCCGTGTGGCGGGCAGCGGGGGGGGGCAGCGGAGCGCGCCTGTTGGGGTGCTGAGGGGGCGGTGGAGGGCGGGGGGCCGGGGCAGCAGCAGCACGTCGTCCTCCGCGGGTGCGGGTGGGGGCCTCGAGGCTGGCAGGATGCCGACAGGATGCCAGCGCTCCATGCACTGTCCCCCCTGTCACCTTTTCCTACCTCCCACCCCCCACCCCACCCTCGCTTCCTACCCCAGGCTCTGAAGGACCGCGAGGAGGCGGTTCGCAACGGCAAGCTGACCACCATCATCTTCATCCGGGACAAGAACAGCAAGGGACAGGTGCGGGCTGCCGGGAGGGTGGAGGGAGGGCGGCGGCGGTCAGGGGCCAGGGGCGGGGTCGGATGAGGGGAATGGGGCGGGACGGGTGGTGCCGTAGCCAGGCACGAGGGGGGGGGATTGAAATGCCTTCCCGGAGAGCCGGGGGAGGGCGAAATGGGGCTCAGGTTCACCTCTTTCTATACAGAGAGAGTAGACACGCGCGTCTTTCCCTGACCCCGCATGTCTACTCCCCCTCTCCCTGCAATCCTCCTGCCTTCCCGCCCCTCCTGCCTTCCCGCCTGCCCCCGCAGGAGGTGTCCGGCTACATCGACTACGGGCACCGACTCAAGACGGAGAGCATGGAGCCGTACTTTGACCGCAAGAAGCGGCTCATGCCGCGCCCCTCCGACCTGTCCTTCTACAACTGGGAGACGCAGATGTCCACCTCCAACCCGACACCCAACTTCCAGGTGCGGTGGCGGAGGTGGCGCCAGGGATGGCAGGGCCGCTGCCACAATAAGCATGGCGAGCCGACCCGACAATAAGCAAGCCGCTGCCGCTCTGCAAGGCCAACACCGCTCGCCTCTCTCCCTCTCCCCTTATCGGTAGCCCTCCCTCTCCTCCACTCCTGCCCCCCAACCGCTCCCTCCCCCCTCGCAGGTTATCGCCGACAACGAGGCTGGGCTGCTGTTCAAGAACAAGCGCGACCGCAAGGTGATCAACGTGGACCCGCGAGCCAAGCCCGGCGACAACTCCACTCGCACGGAGCTGGAGACGGCCGAGTACCTGCAGGTGGTGGTGTACGACCACGTGACACGGAGGAGGAGCTGAGGCGGGGCGGGGAGGGAGCTAGGTGGGAGTGGGAAAGAATATGCAGAAGGAAAGGGGGTGCGGGAAAGGGGAAGGGGGTAGTTTCTGAGTGATACGGGGAGGAGGAAGGGAGGGCTGCTGCTTGGGCTGATAAACAGGTCGCGGTTAATAAACGAGCAGTTAAGGTGTGATGGGTGCAGTTCTTATCCATGTATAGAATTAGAAATGGATAGCGCAGCGCTGGATAGCGCGATTCGTCGTGGCAACGGCAACCATGCGCACGGGAGTTTAGTGTTCGAGAATAGATATGCATACTAGTTTTGTACATATTAACGGATAATACCTTACGGCACGGTAGTTCTATTGCGGCGCTGTATGCGGTAGTCCATTAGACGACGGTTCAGGCTGCGTACCATCCATAGCAACCATGATCTTACTTGCGGTTTTTGCTTGCCTAAAGTGACGGAGGTGCTTGATCATAGGCGCTTACTTATACGCGTCTCGACTGTTGCGGCTGACATGAGCCTTTGTCACGTTTCCTAGAGGTGTGGCTTTCCACCGACGCAGTATTCCTTGCCTGTACTCAGTAACCAGGGATGCCGAATTCTAGCCGCGCAACTCCGGAGGGCCAACTCGGCCGCGACCCCAGTGCCATCGATGCCATAGCGAGCCTTCTATCAACCAGCCTCACCATGCGCGCAGCACCTCACAGTTCGGAAACAGCAACAACGGCGACAGACCCTGCTCCGACGAATTGGCTGGAACGCCATAGCATCGTTGACTCAGCCATTTCCAGTGACACATCACCAGCCATGATACCACCTCTCCTGGCCCTTCCAGACGTCGTGTTGTCCCTAGTAGCCGCCAGGCTGCCCTCTCCGGACAAGAAGACCGCTCGCCTGGTCTGCCGGGCCCTGTATGCCGCAGTCAACGGAGCCGTTTGCTCCTTCCTCCTCACCGATTCCAACCTCCCCGTCCTAGCTCCCCTGGAGCTGCCGCTCCCCTCACCTCCACCTGGCACCACTGACCTACAGCAGCAGCCAACCACCGCTACCAACGTGTCCAGCGGCGCCACCGCAGCCCCGGCCCCCCGCGGTAGCGCTCCTCCTCCTCGCCGCCTGCGCCCTCCCCTGCACATGCTCTTCCCCAACCTCACACACCTCTGCCTAGCGCTCTCCTCCTCCCCCTCCTCCTCCACCCCCTCCTCCTCCTCCCCCTCCTCGGACCCCCTCCACCGCCTGCTCCGCCTCAGCCTGCCCGCCCTGCGCTGCCTGCGCTGCCTGGACCTCTCCCTCCTCTGCCGCGATACGACACTGGGACGTACGGCGAGGGAGGTGTACGACACATGGGCACTAGTCGTGGAGGGCCTCCCAGTGGGCCGACCTGTACGGCTGCTGCTGCACCCGCCGGCGGCCCTGACGCTGTCGTACCCGGTTGCTGCTGCTGGCAGCGGTTGCAGTGCAAGCAGCAGTAGCGGCAGTAGCGGTGCCGTACCGTTGTTAGCCGCCATGCTAGCGCTGTTAGGGGCCCGCAGGCCGGCAGCCGAGGTACGATTCGTACGGGCGCCGCTAGCCAGCAAGCGGTACGACAAACCGCGGATACTGCCGTACGAAGAACTCATGGCGGCGCTGACCCCGCCGTTAGCCCTGCTGTTACCGCCGTCGCTGACGTCATCATCTTGTACGACAGGGGGTGGCTGCCGTACCGCCTCATCAGGAGCGGATCTGCCGTACAGCGGCCGCCTCCGCTGCCCCGCCATCACGGGTCTGGTGCTGGGGCCGGAGAGCTTCGATGCGGCCTCTGCTGGGGGTGGTGGTGGTGGTGGTGAGGGAAGCGGAGGAGGAGGAGCGTCCGCCGCCTCCGCCCCTGCCGCCTCCGGCGGCCCTGCCTCACTGGCTCCCTGGCTCATCCCCAACCCGTTGCACCACCACCGGCAGCAGCAGCAGCACCGGCAGCAGCAGCAGCAGCAGCCGGGCTCCTTGCATGCAGTGACAGCAGCAGCAGCAGGTGGGACGGCAGCTGGGGGCACGTCAGCAGCAGCAGCAGGCGTATCATCAGCAGCAGGTATGAGCAGCGGCCCCGCCAGTCATGACCCCCCCAACGGGCTGGCCTGGCTGCCGCTGCTGGCCTCCGTCAACGCAGCAGCTGCAGCAGCCTCCTCCTTCCCCTCCTCCTCCTCCTCCTCCCCCTCCTCCCCCTCCTCCCCCTGCTGCTCCCCCCCTCCCAGCTCGCTGCAGCAGCTGACCCTGTGGGAGAGCTGGCCGCTGCGGGAACTGCTGGCGGTGGAGGGGATGGAGGGGGGAGCGGCGGGGCCGGGCATGCGAGTGGGGGTGTCCCCCCCCTGCTTGCTACCTCCGCCTCCCCCGCCCTGGCTGACGGGGTTGCGGCGGCTGGTGCTGGTGGACCAACAGGTGGTGGGGTGGGAGGGGGAAGGGGTGGGAGGGGAGGGGGAGGGGGAGGGAGGGAGGGGTTACGAGGCGAGGTGTAGGTGGGGACTGCCGGCTCGTAGGACCAGCCTTGCCTTGCCTTGCCTTGCCTTGAGCGCAACCCCGCCCCCTAACCTCCACCCGCCCCCCTCACCCCCCTCACCTCCACCCCCTCCCAGGCTGTGCTAGACCGCGAGCGGCTGTCCTCCCCCGACCTGGCGCCCCTGGCCGCCCTGCCCCACCTCACACGGCTGGAGCTAGCCAGCCTGGCGCTGGTGGCGCCTGGAGGCGGGGGAGGGGGCGGGGGCGAGGGTGCAGGCAGCAGCAGCAGGGGGGCTAGGGGGGGTCTGGGCAGGCAGCTGCGGGCTAGCGGTGGAGGCGGTGGTGGTGGTGGTGGTGGTGTGGCAAGAGGAGGTGGAGGGCGGCGAGGTGCGGCAGGGGCTGCTGCCCGGGGGGCGGCCTTCACACCCCTCCCGCAGGTGGGTGCGGTGGGGCGCAAGAGGGGGTCAGTGGAAGGAAAGGGGGGGGTGCACTGCTCTGCCCGCTCTGGCCGCTCACCCTGGACTGGTCTGGTTTCCTCGCTGACCCCTCCCGCCCGCCCCCTTCTCTCCACCCTTCCCCTCCAGGTGCGCCACCTCAGTGTCTACCACGCCCTGCGCATCCTACCCCCTCCCGACTCCCACCGCCCCTCATCCTCCTGCTCCTCCTCCTCCTGCTGTCATGACGAGGACGGCCCCGCCGACCCCGCCCTGGCCCCCCTGGCCGCGCTCTTCCCCCGCCTGCGCCACCTGTCCGCCTGCGTGACCCCGCGGGTCGGACCCACGGGTCGCTCCGCCCCCTCCTCGGAGCGCTGGGGCTACCTAGCGGGGCTAGGCGGGCGGCTGGCCTCGCTGCACCTGCGGGCGGGGGCGGCGGAGGACCTGTGCATGCAGGTGGGGGGGGGGTTTCTTCGGATGCTCCTGCGTCTCCTCCTAGTCCTCCCTAGTCTCCTTGGCTTCGCAGGACCCTTGCCAACCCACTTCATACCTGCCTCCTCAACCCTCCATCTCCAACCCTCCCCTCCCCCCCAGGGTCGCAGTGGCGCACTGGCAGCGCTCACTCGCCTCACCGCCCTGCGCCTCTCAGCGGAGGGGGGCAAGGTGGGGAGAGGGGGTGGGAGGGGGGCAGGCTGGCAGGGGATACCCGGGTTGTAGCAGCAGAGTGTATCAGCAGGCGGCAGGCGGCGGCCACCCATTAACCCCGATGCTGGTAGCTGCCAGCTTGTCGGACGTGTCGAGCGGTGGGCCCGCGCGCTTGCTTCCTCCGCTCCTGATACTTATCCTTTCTTCCTCTTCCACTGCCCTGACCTCTCCCCCCCCAACACACACACTCGTGCGCACCCAGATCGACGGCCTGCGCGGCCTGGTCCGCACCCTGTCCTGCGTGGCGCCCTCCCTGGTGTCCCTGCGCCTGTGCCGGCTGGCCACCCGGCGCGGCACCGACCCGCGGGTCACCGAGCTGTCCCTGCCGTCGCTCACCCGGCTGGACTTCCGCGGCTGCGGGGGCTGCCTGCTGGCGGGGTGGGACGGAGTGGCGCTGGGGGCGGGGCGGCTGAGGAGGGTGGAGGTGGGGCGGGGGGGGGGAGGGGCGGGGCGGGGCGGAGGTGGGGGGGTGGACGTGAGGCGGGGGGGCCCCGGGGGGGCGGCTGAGGAGGGGGGGCGGGGCGGGGAGGGGTGATTTGCACAGAAAGCAAGTTCTTTACGGCCGTTGCAAAAGCCGTGGTGACTGGTGAGGCCCGGTGGCAGGGGTGGCAGTGCGTTTGCCTGGAGCTGCTGCACACGCTGCTGCCGGAGTGGCCCGCTGGCCAGTCACTGTTCCCCATTACCTCCCTCCCCCGTTGCTTTCAATTACCTGCCTGCCCCCCCCCCAGGTTCGGGAGTGCGACACGGTGCGACCGGGCGACCTGCAGTGGCTGCTGGAGCGGCAGGTGGGGCGGCAGGGGGGGGACTGCTGACTGCTGACACCTGACACCCGGCTCACTGCATACACTGCCGTTGTGTTAAACACGTACGTACTGGTGTACGGCACACGTGTCGGACAACGCTGCCCTCCCTGCTGCTGTGCAGATGGGCCTGCAGCTGTTAGTACTGCGGGACTGTCCGGGCCTTACGAGTACGGCAGCGCTTGGGGAGCTGAGGGCGGTACGACCAACGCTGCGGCTGTCGGTCTGCCGTACGGATAGTGGGGAGGCGAGGTTGCTTAGGCGGAGCAGGAAGGCGGGAGCGGAGGAAGGAGAGGAGGCGGGCGAGGGGAGGGCGGGTGTGGGGTTGTTGTTAGGCGGGGCTATGATGGCACCGGGTGAGGATGGATGGGAGTGGAGGAGGTGCGGCGTTGTCACCGCGGACGACCTGGACGAGCTGTAGCTAAAGGTTTGATTGATGATTTGCTGGCGAATGAAAAGCCCTGGGTTTGTTTTGCCGCCCGTCGAGCTTACATGTGATGCCGCATTCGGACGCGCGCGGTGCCTACGGAGTGCTATTTTGTTCCTACGTGATGACCCGCACTGCGACATTGAACACGTTAACCATGTTTGCCCGCGAGTGCAATATGACGTTTTGGGATTGGCGATGCAAGTAAGGTTGTTACGCTGTACAAGTCCTAAATCTGAATACTTATTATTTGAGAAGGCATTGTGGAGATTGGGCATATGTGTTACGCCTAGGGCAGATCTGTCAGATAAAGCTGTCGCTGGGCTAGTCACGGATGCGTTCCCAAGTGGATAGTGGCAGGTGCTAGATATGGTTGATTGCATGCTGGAAGAAGATCTATTCACAGTGCTCGCTGTCCTGGCTTCTAGCGGTTCTAGGTCTTTCCCGGTCGCTCCGAAGCAGGAAACAAGCAGTCCCAATTCGCCATCAGCAAGGCAAAGCACAGATCAACATTTGTCTGCAACACTACTATTGGGTGTTCTGCCTAGGTCTATTTGGAAGATTACGCGCTTTTGACGTCTGGCCTATGGTACGGCGAATGGGTGTTAGCCTGCTCAGCCGGAACGTTCGCTGCATCAGGAAATATGTGCGTTGTAAGCAATAGAATGCACGAACTCAACACTAAAGGCTGATTCATGTTGATTAGGTTCCACAGTCTCATTGAAACATCCATGCAAGCTGGCTAACGCTCAAACCTTACAACATCGCTGCGCGCTACTACGCAACCCAGTCTAGCTATGGCCGGCACTCGTCGTCGGAAGCAATCTGCGGCAGATCGCTCTCCCGGGGCGCCCGAGGACGCATTCGCCCATCCCGCAGCACCAGCACCACCTACTCGCCGCGCCAACAACGGCACAGCAGCTGCTGCTGCTGCAATCTCCCCAGCAGCAGCTTCCCGCCCTCCTCCCGCAACTCCTCCGAGTCGCCAGGACTCCTCTAACTCCCTGGGCAGCAACGGCCCGCACCCACACCCGCAACGCGGCCAAGATCGGCACCCACCCCACCGTGAAGGTGCGCCCAATGGCCCCGCAGGCCCCAGCAGCAGCACCGCCGCCTCCACCTCCCACCACCGCAGCCGCAGCCGCAGCCCCTCCCCAACGAGTAAAGGAGGAGCAGGAGCAAGGACAGGAGGCGCAGGAGTAATAGCAGCGGTGGCCACTACCCCGCAAGGCAGCAAGCGCCGCCCGGGTGTCACCACCCCCAACGGTAACGGTAACGGTAACTGCAGCGCTTACAACACTGCTCGGGCCGCCGCCACGCCCCTACCGCAGTCGCCACCTGAGGAGGCTCAGCGGCAGCAGCGGCGACAAGGCCGCACTAACGGTCATGGTGCGGGCGGCGGGGTGGACGGTAGCGAGGGCGGAGGCAACACCGGCAGCAGCAGCAGTGGCGGAAGCAGGAGCCAAGGAGGCGGCGGTCACCATCATCCTCCCAGCAGCAGTCGGCGGTGGCGGCGGGCGGGTCAGTGGGTGGCGGCGGTGGCGGTGGTGGCGCTGGCGGCGGTGCTGGTGCCGCACAGCCTGAGGGAGGTGAGGGAGGGGGTGGGGGAAGGGAGGGGGAGTGTGGGATGGGATGGTAACTTGGGCGGTAGCTAAGGGAGGTGGCGGTTGGCATGAGGGAGGTGGAGGGCTGGGGAGGTGAGGTCTGCAAAACCCTGCATCATCCCATGACCCATGGGTCACTCCGCTTTCCAGGCTTTCCCCCGCCACCTCCCCGCCACCTCCCCTCTCTCCACTTCCATTCCGTCCCACTCATTCGCCCACTCCCCCTCCCTCCCCAGGACTCCCCCCTCTCCGTCTCCGAGCTCCTGCCCGACGGCCTCAGCCTGCCTCGCCTCAACGTCACCCTCCCCCTGCAGCTCCCCCTCTCCCTCTCCCTGCCCTCCCTGGACGCACTGCTCGCATCCACTGGAGCGGCAACAACCGCCAACGGTAACGCTAACGGTAACGGCAGCAGCATTAGCAGTTCCTTCAACCTCTCAGCGCTGCTCGGCCTAACCGACAGTCTAACCGATTCGCTAACCGACACCCTAACCGACACGTTTAACGACCTAACCGATCTGATTAGCGTCCGGCGGTTGTCAGTTACCGCTCAGTTGCGAGCTCTGCTGTCGCAACTGCCGGCATTCAGTTTGCCGCAGCTGGGTAACGGCAACGGCAACGGCAGTACGGAGGGGGGCGGTGCGGGGCTGAGGCCGGGTCTGGTGATGGCTCGGAGGGGCTACCGAGCGAAACACCCCGTGGTGATCGTGCCAGGTGCGGGCGGGAGGGCGGGGTGGGAGGGCGGGTGGGAGTGACCACCGGTGTGTATGTGTCGTGTCATATCGTGTCGCGTTTCAGGGCTGTGGATAGCTCGGCCTTGCCCCCCACCTGACCTCTCCGTTGAGACCCACTCGGCTCGCGCGCTGAGTGCCGCGGCTGCCGTACTGCAGCCGCTGCCGTCCCGTCCCTCCTCCTCGTAGAGCTCCTCCTGCCGTATCGCAACCAGCTGCTTCTGCCGTACCGCCGCTTTCCTTGCCCTAATGCTGCCGTACCGCCGTACCGCTGCTTCTCATGCCGTACTGCTGCTGCCGTACTGCTTTCAGGTTTCGTGACGTCCGGTTTGGAGCTGTGGCAGGGGCTGCCGTGCGGGCAGCGCTACTTCCGGCAGCGCATGTGGGGCACACTGGCCATGGTGCAGGTGGGGGGGGGCGGGGGGGGAGGTGCGGGGGGAGGTGGGTGGTGGTTGAGGTGGGCTGTGTTAGGGCCCACCCGCTGCCCTGCTGCTGCTCCCCCGCTGCCGCCCGCGGTCCCCCGAGCTTTTTCCCCAGCCCAGCTGCTTCCCTGACCCAGCCCCCTCTTTGACCTCCCCCCCCCCCTCCCTTCCCCCCCTCCCCCTGCCAGGCCTTCCTCAGCGACCCCGGCTGCTGGTTCCGACACATGGAGCTGGACCCCGCCACGGGACTGGTAGGGGGGGGGGGAAGAGGGGGAGGGAGGTGTAAGTGAGGGGAGTTAGGTGCGCTTGGGAACGCTCGGATCCATGCTCGCCCTCCCGCCGCTGCGCCTGCCGCTCGACACCTCCGCCCTCTCATCCCCGCCTCTCACCCCCTCCCTCTTCCCCTCTCTCCCCCCAGGACCCCGAGGGCATCAAGGTTCGTGCCGCAGTGGGGCTAGAGGCGGTGGACTACTTCATACCCGGATACTGGTGGGGGCGGGAGGGGGGGAGAGGGGTATGGGTAGGGAGGGAAGGAGGGAAAGAAAGGAGGACGAGGAGGGGGAGTTGGAGTGAGGGACTTGGGAGGGATTGGTGATGGAAGGAGAGCGTAGCAGGGACCTCTGCCGTCCTTGTTGTCCTGCCGCGGCTACATCCGCTGCTGCTGGCCCTACCGGTGTCATCGCCTCCCTCCCCCCCCTCCCACCCCCTCAGGGTGTGGGGCAAGCTGGTGGAGGCGCTCGCCGACGTGGGGTACGACAGCAACAGTCTCGTCAGCATGCCGTACGACTGGAGGCTGGCCATGCCGCTGCTGGAGGTGGGGGGGGAGGGGGAGGGGGGGGTAAAGGAATACCTGGTGCGACCCCGCAGCGGCAGCGGGCCAAACCAGGGCGGCGAGGCATGCGCTACCCGCTTGTCCTCCTCCTTATCCGTCTTGCCCCTCGTCTTCCAGTTCGCCGGCTTCTTACCCCCTCCTCCCCCCCCACCTCCTCCCCCCCCAGGAGCGCGACGGCTACTTCACTCGGCTGCGGTCCGCGGTGGAGTCGCTGGGTGCGGTGGCGGGGGAGCGGGTGGTGCTGACGGCGCACTCGTACGGGGAGAACGTGGTGAGGAGGGCGGGGGGGAGGGGGAGGGGGGTCGTTGTGTTGTCGGCGGCTAGGCTGCCGCGTTCCTGGCAATGGTTACTTGATTGGATCCAAGATCACCACCGCCACCACCACCTCCCAGCAGCAGTGGGCTGGGATGTTGTTGGCAGAGGGGGAGAGGAGGGCAGAGGAGGGCAGAGGAGGGCAGAAGAGGGCAGAAGAGGGCAGAGGAGGGCAGAGGAGGGCAGAGGAGGGCAGAGGAGGGCAGAGGAGGGCAGAGGAGGGCAGAGGAGGGCAGAGGAGGGCAGAGGAGGGCAGAGGAGGGCAGAGGAGGGCAGAAGAGGGCAGAAGAGGGCAGAGGAGGGCAGAGGAGGGCAGAGGAGGGCAGAGGAGGGCAGAGGAGGGCAGAGGAGGGCAGAGGAGGGCAGAGGAGGGCAGAGGAGGGCAGAGGAGGGCAGAGGAGGGCAGAGGAGGGCAGAGGAGGGCAGAGGAGGGCAAGAGAGCTCGGGCGGCGAGGGTGCTGCTGCTGCTGCTGCTGCCGCGGGCTGTCGCGCACTGCTGGTACTCCTTCGACCGGTACTAAGCCCCCCACCTTCCCTCAAACCCCCCTCCTTCTCTCACCCCAAGGTCCGCGCCTTCATGGCCTGGGTGGAGGCCGACCAGCCGGGCTGGGTGGAGGCGCACGTGGCCGCCGTCGTCAACATCGCGGGGACCAGTCTGGGGGTACCCAAGTCGGTGTCGGCACTCATGTCGGGTAGGGGGGGGAGGGGGGAAAAGAGGAAACAACTAGCTGACTGAGGGATAAGGCATCAACATGGGTTGCAACATGTGAGCCACAGCCCGACCCGCCCAGCCCGAAGGGGGGAAGGGGAGGGGAGGCTAGCAGCTTGCCGCATGAGACTGTGCGCATGTTGTCACGTTGCCAACCTTGTCAGGCAGTGCGGTGAGAGAGTGTGTGTCATGAAACTGGGTGTGAGGGTGCGAGGGTGTGAGGGTGTGTCAGGGTGTGTGTGTGTGACACCCGCGAGCCCCCCTGCTGTCGTACAGCCCCCCGGGGCCACCCGCAGTACATCCACCGTACCCTCATCACCGCCCTCCATGCACCTCCTCCCCCCCCTCCCTCCCCCCTCCCGCAGGTGAGACCCGTGACACCGCGCAGCTGGGAGCGCTGGCTGGCTTCCTCACCTCCAACCTGGTGCCCCGCGCCGCCCGCACGCGCGTGTGGCGCTCCTGGGGGGCGGCGTACGCGATGCTGCCGGCGGGGGGGCCGCCGGTGTGGGGCAACACCAGCTGGGCGCCGGACGACAGCGAGGAGATGAGGCGGGGGGGCAGGACGTACGGGTGAGGGGGCGGGGGGCGGGGGGAGGGGAGAGGGGTGGAAGGGAAGACCTGCTGCGGAGGGTTGGGACTGGAATGGCGCCTGCCTCCCTTCCGCTCGCTCCGCCTCCCTTCCTCGCCATTCCTAACGCGTGCCTCGCTCGCCACCACCTCCCCTCCCTCCCTCCACCTCCCCCCCCTAGCGCCATGGTCTCCCTGTGGCCGCACGACTGGCAGTCGCTGCTGTCCGCCGCCGCCTCCGCGCCCGCCCCGCAGCGGCAGCGGCTGCAGCAGCTGGTGGCGGAGGTGAGCCAGACGGCGGGGGAGGCGGCGGCGGAGGTGGCGACGGAAGTGAAGGTGGCGGTGAAGATGGGGGGAGCAGCAGGGAGCCATGCGGGGTGTGAGACGGAGGCGCAGGAGGAGGAGACGGAGGAGGAGGAGGAGGGCGCGGCTGCCGGGCGAGGAGGTGCAGGCAGCAATGGCAGCAGCAACACAAGTAGTAGCAGCACTAGCAGCAACGGAAGCAACACCACCACCTCCAGCAGCCCCCCCAGCAGCAGCCCCCCCAGCCCCATGTCCCGGCTAACGGGCACCCTGCGCAAGCTGGTGCTGGTGGGGGGCGGGGGCGGGGGCGGGGGCGAGGTGGACCCGGCTGACCACCTGCACAGCGAGCAGGTGGGGGTGAGGGGGAGGAGGGGTGGGGGAGAAGGAGGGAGCGGGGTGGGAACGGAAGGGAGAAGGGGTGGGAACGGGGGGAGAAGGGGTGGGAACGGGGGGAGAAGGGGTGGGAACGGGGGAGAAGGGGTGGGAGCGGGGTGGGAACGGGGGAGAAGGGGTGGAAGCGGGGGGAGAAGGGATGGGAGCGGGGGGAGAAGGGGTGGGAGCGGGGGGAGAAGGGGTGGGAACGGGGGGAGAAGGGGTGGGAACGGGGGGAGAAGGGGTGGGAAGGGGGGGAGAAGGGGTGGGAGCGGGGGGAGAAGGGGTGGGAGCGGGGGGAGAAGGGGTGGGAGCGGGGGGAGAAGGGGTGGGAGCGGGGGGAGAAGGGGTGGGAGCGGGGGGAGAAGGGGTGGGAGCGGGGGGAGAAGGGGTGGGAGCGGGGGGAGAAGGGGTGGGAGCGGGGGGAGAAGGGGTGGGAGCGGGGGGAGAAGGGGTGGGAGCGGGGGGAGAAGGGGTGGGAACGGGGGGAGAAGGGGTGGGAACGGGGGGAGAAGGGGTGGGAACGGGGGGAGAAGGGGTGGGAACGGGGGGAGAAGGGGTGGAAGCGGGGTGGGAACGGGGGAGAAGGGGTGGGAGCGGGGGGAGAAGGGGTGGGAGCGGGGGGAGAAGGGGTGGGAACGGGGGGAGAAGGGGTGGGAGCGGGGGGAGAAGGGGTGGGAGCGGGGGGAGAAGGGGTGGGAGCGGGGGGAGAAGGGGTGGGAGCGGGGGGAGAAGGGGTGGGAGCGGGGGGAGAAGGGGTGGGAGCGGGGGGAGAAGGGGTGGGAGCGGGGGGAGAAGGGGTGGGAGCGGGGGAGAAGGGGGGGAGAAGGGGTGGGAACGGGGGGAGAAGGGGTGGGACCGGGGGGAGAAGGGGTGGGAACGGGGGGAGAAGGGGTGGGACCGGGGGGAGAAGGGGTGGGAACGGGGGGAGAAGGGGTGGGACCGGGGGGAGAAGGGGTGGGAGCGGGGGGAGAAGGGGTGGGAGCGGGGGGAGAAGGGGTGGGAGCGGGGGGAGAAGGGGTGGGAGCGGGGGGAGAAGGGGTGGGAGCGGGGGGAGAAGGGGTGGGAGCGGGGGGAGAAGGGGTGGGAGCGGGGGGAGAAGGCAGTCGGGCAACACCCACCGCTTGCTGTCATCCATCCCTACCCACCCTGCCCCGGCCCCCCTGCTGCCGTTTCCCATCCCCTTTGCTCTGCCCTAACCTGTGTTTTCCTATGGTATGGTATGGTCTTTCCCCCCACTGCCCCACCCCCCCGCAGGTCACTCGGTTGGACGTGTCCGGCTTCCTGGCGCTGCTGGCGGAGGTGGGCGGGCCGCTGGTGGAGCGGCACATGCGCGAGTGGGGGGCGGTGGAGCTGGGGGGCAGGCGGGGGGAGGAGGCGGGGGAGCAGGGTGAGGCAGGAGCTTGGGATGGGATGGGGTGAAAAGGGAAGGGATGGCATGGCATGGGGAGGGGAAGCGCGGCTTGTTAGGTTGGGTTGGGTGTCCGCTGCTGCTGCATTCCGGGGGCTGCTGGCCTGGCTGCTGTCCCCTGGGGGCTTGGGTGCATCAGAGGGGGCTGGAGGCCCAGGGACTTGCAGAGCGCTGCTGGTATGCGCGAGTGACCGACCCATGGTTCACTGGCTCCTCCGCTCTCACCTGTTTTCCCCTTCTCCCCCCTTCCGACCCCTTCCGCCCCTGCACCTCAGCCCGCATGGCGCAGGAACGGATTGCCGCCGTAACGCAGCCCCGCGACTCCACCGGCAACGCCAGCAGCAGTGACCGCAACCGCAACGACGACGAGGTCCGCAGCACAACAGACGGCGGCCACCCCCCCAGCACCCCCCAGGCGGAGCAGGCCCTGGGCGGCCCACACCGCCTGCGCCGCACCGCCCGCCGCCGGCCCGCACTCTTCCCGGACGCCTCCCGCACCCCCCTGCCGCATGCGCCCTCCACCACCCTCGTGTGTCTGTACGGCGTGGGACTTCCCACGGAGCGGGGCTACCACTACCTGCGCCCGCCCTCGCCGCCGGCGGCATCACCGGGGACGGTGGCGGCGGCGGAGGCGGGAGGAGGAGGGGCGGGGACAGGAGGGGCGGGAGGAGGAGGGGCGGGGACAGGAGGGGCGGGGACAGGAGGGGCGGGGACAGGAGGGGCGGGGGCAGGCGACGGATCTCCGCACAAGGCTGGGGAGGGCAAGGAGGAGACGGGGGAGGAGGGCAGGCAGTGCCTTATGGGCGGCAGCGAGGGAGCGGCAGCGGAGTGCGGAGCGAAAGAGGATGAAGATGGGGACAGCAGCAGTAGTGCTGGTGGTGGTGGCAGTAGTGGTGGTGGCGGTGCCGCCGCCACGTCCCGCCCTCCCCCGCACGCCCCCGCTACCTCTGGCGAGGAGGCCAGTCCCGAGGGGGGCGGGGAGGCGGGGGCGGGCTGGGCGATCATGAGGGACGTGTCACACCCGGAGAGCGACCTGGTAGGGGGGGGCCGGGGGGGAGGGAGGGCAGGGAGAGAGCTGGAACGAACTCGCGTTTGGGTAGCTAGTGGGGAAAGGGAAAACGGTTGAGGTGTTTGCTGCATGCATGTTTCCTACCCGTATCCCCTGCTGTCGGCCCCTCCATCTCCCCACCACCCTGATACTCGGCTCCCTTCCCCGCTCCATTCGCCCCACCCCAGGACGTGGGTGTGCAGCTGAGCGACGGCGACGGCACGGTGCCGCTGCTGAGCCTGGGCCTCATGTGCCGGGGCGGCTGGCGGCCGGGCAGCCGCCTCAACCCGGGCGGCATGCGGGTGGTGACGCGGGAGTTCAAACACCGCAGCGGCTCGCTGCTGCAGGGGGCAAGGTGGGCGCGAAGATAAGGGTGGGGGTGGGGGACTAGGTTAACTGAGCCGCGGAAACACTGACCCTGACCGGAGGGGTGGTGCGTGGGGCAGGAGGGCGCCCAGGATGATGCTTGCACGTTCCCTTTCACCGTCCTCGTGTGAAATCCGTTAGCTATGTAGTCGGCGGCGTACCCAACCGCACCGTACCGCCGCCGCCGCCGCCCCAGCGGACGGCACGTCTTGCCAGGCACGGGAAGCGACATGCGAGTGAGGTGTCGTACTGTTGTTGCCCGTGTAGCGCCGTACAACCCCCTATGCATGTGTGCCGTACAACCCTCCTACGTCCAATCCCATCTCTTACCCTCCCCTTCCCTTCCCTTCCCTCCCCCCCCCACCCAGAGGCGGCCCCGCCAGTGCCGCCCATGTTGAGATCCTGGGTAACGAGGGCGTGCTGGCTGACGTCATCCGGGTGGCAGCGGGGCGGGCGGGGGAGCTGGGGGATGTCATACACAGCGACATTGACACCCTGGTGGCGGAGGTGGAGCGGCAGCAGCAGGGGCCGTGGTGGGGGTGAGGTGGGGGTGAGGTGGGGGTGAGGTGGGGGTGGAGCGGCAGCTGCGGTCCTGATGGGGTGCGGTACATATCGTGGCGGCAGCAGGGAGGGCAGGGGGCATGCATGCAGCGCGCCGCAGAGCGTGTGGGGGGGTTGACGCTGTACAGTTATCGTAGCAATGTGTACATTTGGTATGCCCTGTGTAATGTGATGGTAGGCCTGTTGTAGCGACGTGTGTGTGGGCCGGCAGGCTGGCGTGCTAGGTACCGGTGCATACAAGCATGGCGGCAGGCAGCAGCGGTGCGAGCGGCAGCAGGTTGCGGCTCTGCCCTGCTGCTGCCGCCCTAGGGCACTGTGGTGAGGGAACTGGCCGCCACGGAACGACGGTTAACCCGTGCGTGTGCGTGTGCGTGTGTGTGTGCTGTGAGTGCTGGCGGGTAATGCATGCAGGCAGGTGCACAGGGGTGTTGGAGTGGAGGCTAGCTTAACCGAGGGTTCAGCGGAGTGCAGATACTGTAGCTGCGGTCCTGTTTTTACAAAAATAAATTTTTCGATTTGTAAATTTGTCTTAGAAAAACTATCGCCGGTTGCTTAAGAACTTTAAAGTGCAGATACTGGTAGCTAGGTGCATAGCTGAGTGCATATTAGCTAGGAACTAACGAAGGCAGGCAGGGAGGTGGGGGTGGTGCTGGTTCACATGTGCCACTGCAGGTGTGGCGCTACAGAGGGCGCCCTCTTCAGCAGCCGGGTGCGGCAACCAGAGCATGAGAGTGCAGGCCGATGTGTGTCTCATGCGCTAGATATGTTGGTAGTGCGTGTGCGAGCGTGCGGTTACCGGTACGCTGGTTGTGCGCACATGCACGAGACGGCCACGCAAATCCCGAAGTAAGGCACAACATGCTCAGGCATCTCCTTACAGCTACAGTTACAGCTGACAAGCAAGGAAGGATGGTAGGTGAAATCCACGAGTTGTGAGGAGGGCCCGACAGCACACATAACCCACAACACCCAACAGCAGGAAACACACGTAAACTAACCCAGGAATCATAATGCTCCTTTCGGGAACCCAGGCTGACAACATCCACATATTGTAACACAAAACCGTGCACCGCGCTATACGAAAACACCTGCAGATAGACCTTGTCTCTCTTTTAACGCCGTCGTTACAGCACCCCTAGCACCCCTGCAACATAACCCACGTGTATGTAACCTACCCTGTCCGCCTCCCTGACACGAATGCTCATATTGTCATATACACACTTGCATCCTTTTGGACACCCAGCGCCTGCACTTCTATCTCAAGCACGCAATACTTGATGCAAGCAAGGGTCGACCAGCAACCTAAAGTAGGGTCTGCAGTGTAAGGTCCTTGTCAGGCAATCGCTGCCTCCCTCAGCGGCACTTCGCATCCTAGCAAGGAGCAGCCGCTAAGTACCAAACCAAAGCAAGTGTAAGCAAGCAATTTGCAAAGACAGTGCACACGTCGTCCTGTAGAAATTAATTAGGAACTCCAACTAACAGCAATGTTAATGTGAGCATGCATGTCCCTTCGTCATCACTGCACCATCCAAACACAACAAACGTCATGGACCACATACGTCGTACGTTCGGGTTCCCCCGAACAATGCCGGCATGCGTGCGGACACTCGTCCATGCATGCGACCACAATCAACATAGACCCTAACCTAAAAGGAAGGTCGAAGAGTGATGCGTCTCAAGCAGAGTGGCGGCTCCTTCTCTTGCCTCAGGGCCGAGAGCCTGCTAGCTAGTCTCGGGACAGCAGCTCGGCAATGCCGGTCCCGGCCTTGGCCACATCGATGGGCTTTTGCCCCAACTGCACGGAAGAAGAAAAGGAACAATGCAGATGGCAGATAGGCAGGCAGGCCATTTAATGCTGGTAGGCAGGCTAAAACGGATCGCACATGAACGGACAAACAACACGTTGCATTTGCTGTTATCCGATGCTGCTACCTGGTCCAGCCGGCGACTGCTGCTGCCGTATCACTACCACTACCTCCAACCGGCATGCCGTACTCACGCTGTTGGTGGCAGTCTTGCGCGCTCCCGCCCGCACCAGCACCTGCGCCACCTCCAGGAAGCCGTTGCTTGCGGCCAGGTGCAGCGGAGTGGTGCCGTCCTGAGTGCGGCAGGTGCAGGGAACAGGGAGGCAGGGAAGGGTGAGGGGGGGGGAGACTGGGGTAAAAGGAAGGAGGGCGCGAGCTTACGAGGGTGCACCACACCACCAAGCACGCTGGCTCGCAAACACGAGCCCACAAGAGCTTTCCTGCCGGTCACGCCAGACCCACCTTCAGCGCGGCGTCCTTCTCCGCGCCCTTATCCAGCACATCCCTCACGATCTCCACAAACCCCTTGGAGCAGGCAATGTGCAGCGGCGAGTAGCCGTCCTGTAAGCGGCAGGGGGCGGGAAGCAGCAAGGGGGTCCAGCTGGGCACGCACGCATGGCAGGGCGGAGGATGCGATCACATGATGGACGCAGTACAGACATGGCGGGGATGAGGATTCACGAGCCAGCAGCGGGCTGTGCACGTGTGCTGTTAGTGTGCACCCGGCTGCATTGACAGCCGCGCCCAGAAGCTGCTTGCTCCCGACTGATACTGAATACCGTACTGAACTGCGCGCCCCCTCCATGTAGGTGGATGGACCCGCCCGCACCCACCGACTGCCTGGCGCTGCTGATACTGGCTCCCACCCCCAGCAGTGCTTTCACGATGTCCACATGGCCGTTGTCGGTTGCGACGATGAGCGGGGTGACGCCCTGTGCGTGTGGGCAGCAGCAGCAGCAGGAGGGACAGTGGTGGGCAGCACTCTGCCTTGGAAAGCAGCAGCATGTCGGGTGAAGCAGGACTACAGGTATACGAGTCTCTGCCGGATCCCGTCAAGCAAGCAGTGAACCAGAGTCAACAACCTAGATTGAATGCAGCTCAGTGTCACACAACTGGGGCATGCACGTCTGCTCTCATGCCCCCTCTGCACGGCTCAGCCCCTCTGCATGGCCCAGCAAGGATCAGCGGCCGTCAGCGCACCCCGCCACCCACCCCCTCCTTCATGAGCTCCGTCTTGGCCTGGCCGCCCAGCAGCGACTGCACCACCGGCAGGTGCCCCAGCGAGGCGGCCACCAACAGCGGCGTGGAGCCGTCCTGCAGGCAGCCGCGCATAGATAGCACGGGCGGGGGGGGACACAGTGGGTTCGGTACCGGTAGTCGCTGATGGAGGGATGACTGAGCTCCAACCCCGCCATTGCACGCCCCGGCCGCCCCATCCCGACCCCGGGCCCCCCCTTACCTTCATTTGTACGTCCTTGTTGGCACCCTTTGCAAGGAGCGCATCCACCACACCCACGTGACCCCCCTTGGCGGCGGTGAGCAGCGGCGTGCTGTCGCCCTGGCTCCATGGCAGGCGGGTGGTGTCAGGCATCAGGTACGGCAGGCGGGTGGTGTCAAGGCATCAGGTACGGCAGGCGGGTTAGTCAAAGCGTGGAGTGTACGACAGCTGACACACAGCCACACGACATGCATGCTGCCTGACCTGCATGCATGCGTATGCCTGGACGCCTACGTTCTCGCATACCTGGATTCCCAACGATTGAACACTCTTACCCCTTCAATCTTGAAGTTCTTATCAGCGCCCGCCTCTAGCAAGGCCAGCACGGTCTCGGTGTGGCCATTTTGTGCGGCGATGAAGAGCGGTGTGGCCCCCGACTGAGGGCAGATGAACAGTGGTCGAAGCGACGCGACAAGTGTGGGTTAGTGAAGACAAAGACGAGAACGCGGTGAGGATCATCCAATATCTGCGTGTGGGAGGTGCACGACCAAGTGCCCTAAGCGCCAAAGCAATGCGCGGAAGGCCAGGCTAAGCTGACAGCTTCAGTCGTGTAGCTGTTCTGTAGCTGACTCCTGGTTACTAGCTAGCTCTCGTGCGGCATTGTGTTTTCGGTTGCGCTCTGAACGCACAGCGAGCTGCAGCCGCAACATACCTACATAAGCCAAGACTTTACCTGGAACTTGTGGTGCACATCAGCTTCCCTCTCCAGCAGCGCCTTTACCACCGCCAGATGACCTCGTTCGGAAGCAATGTACAGCGGGTTGGATTTGTCCTGCAAGCGTGCACGCGTGGGGACAGAGCTGCGTTGTGAGGCTTGGCGGCTGAGTCACCGATCGAGGTGACAGCAGGTGCTGATGGATGGTGACACATGGCAGCTGTGGGTAAGCTCACTGTTGCAAGCACAGGATTGCAGGTAGGCAGGCAGCAATTCTATAATGGCAGGAGCCATGCTATAATAGCTCTTGCTAAGGTTTAAATCCCTACTAGCAAGGGTAAGCCCCACAATAATGCAGGTACATGCACCCCAGGATGGCTAACCTTCCGCGCAGCATTCTTGTTCGCGCCGCCTCCCAGGAGGACCTCCACCATTTCCACATCCCCGTTCTGGGAGGCGATGTACAGCGGGGTTGCCCCGCTCTGCAGGCCAATGAAGAGGGACACTGCTCAACGGCTACACTGCGGCTACACTGGAAGAGCCTTGCAGGCAGCGCTGATGGCAACAGCCACGAATGCTGGTCAATGAGCTTGACAGGCTAAGTCGTGTGTGAACACCAGCAAAGCAGAGAGTTGAAGCCCCTTGCGCCCGCCGCTCATAAATGGGTACCATGCATGACAACACCCGGTCAACGGCACAGCAGGCGGCATGCCCAGCACCACCTGCAGGCAAGCCTCTGTGCAGCGAGGTCGCCTACCTACCCACCTGCAGGCAAGCCTCCGTGCTGACCCGGGCTTTGAGCAGCTCTTTGACTGTGTCCATGTGGCGTTTCTCCGCGGCCAGGTACAGCGCATTAGCGCCGTCCTGCACGCGGATGCAGGGAGGTGGGATGGGTGGAGACACAGGTCAGTGACGACAACCTACATCCCGGGACTCCTGGCAAGGGCTAAGGAGGCCACTGCTGCCACTGTTTGCCACTTTGTTAAAGCTCCCGGATATCCGTCACTGTTGGGTTGCAACAGTCAATCCCAAGTAAGGTGGTGTGTGTTAAGTGTCTGGCTGCCAGTCCTGAACGGACAGGCCGTCTGATGAGCATGCAGCAATGAGGCTCATACCGGTATGCATAGTCTTCATACTGGACTGTTGCATGGCACGCACATTCCTAGTCCTGGCAGCTATGTCTATGTTTCCTTCTTTACCACGCCTTGACTCCAGGCCCACCTGCAAGGTCCTGTCCTTTTTCACGCCTGCCTGTAGCAAGATCCGCACGACTTCGGCAAAGCCGTGCAATGAAGCAATCAACAGTGGCGTGTACCCGGTCTGCGTGCAGAAGGAACAGCAGCATCAGCGGTGGATCCACAAAGGTAAGGAAAAGTAAGGGGTATACGGTACCCTGCTGGCACAGCTGCACATGCATGGCTTGAGTACAAGGACAAAGACTAAATCAACAATGCGTGCTCACTAGCAGCCCCATGCAGACAAAGTGTACCAGGTCTCAGGCCAACTCACATTGATGACCACATCAGCCTGCGCCCCGGCCTGCATGAGGGCTCGCAGCGCCTCCACATGGCCCTTCTCAGCCGCAATGTACAGCGGCGTTGCTTTATCCTGGAAGGGAAAATCACGGCAGGATTGGGACCATGTTGACCTCAGCCACTCTAACCGCACAGGTGTGCCACTGCCAATTGCGCGAGCAAAGTACCGGTGCACATGATGGGGCTGCGAGTGATGGCTAAGAACGTTGCTTGCTGCACACACACAGTCCTTTACCTGGTAGTGGTGGCGGGTAAATGTTCATGGGACAAGAGAAAAAGGAGCTAGCAGTAGTCCTTAACTTGCCCAAACCTTAGCATCAATGCGGAGGACACTGGGAGCACACCAGGATTGCATGCGTAGACAGACATTCGCAAAGCGCATGGGGTTTGGAAAGGCACACCCCCACCAGCCCTGCTGGCTCACCGTGAACCCTAGCTCCTTGTCAGCGCCGGCCGCTAGCAGTGCACGTATCGCCTCCGTGTGTCCGTTCATAGCGGCTACCGTAAGAGGAGTAGCACCTCCCTACAGGGTGAATTGGAAGAGGTTGCGACAAGTGCCTGAGCAACTGGAGTGGCATGTATCAACCTGCTGTGGATGGAGCGCAAGCTAAAAGCACAGTATTAGGATTCAAAGGCCCACATCACTCAACGGCAGCAAACCAGGCAATCACCTGGCACCCCACCTTCCTACACAGGTGGGAAGCAATTCATCAGCACCAAACTCTACAGGTGGGGCCAACCGAGTCCCTCACCTCTCTCTTTGTGTTGACACCGACCCCTGCCTTCGCCAGCAGCGGGATGATACCTGCATGGCCCTTGGCCGCAGCCAGGTGCACTGATGTGGATCCATCCTGCGTGCGTCCACAGCACACACACACACAAAGGGGCAAAACACTTGTAAGTGTGAGCCATGCGACTTGGTTTGCCGCAAGGGTATACACACCGCTAACACCCGCTACTCCTCGGCTCCTATGGCGTTTCTGTGGGGCCTTCATCTTCCTGCCATCACGATATGTCCTAACGCACAGCAGGCTTTCTAACACACTGCTCACAGTACGTTCCAACTTGGAACCAGTTTTCTAAACACATCGCTCGGCATTAAAACAACATGCCGCCAAGTTGAGGCCCTATACCGGTACCTTGACAGAAGTACCTAGAAATGGTACTAGCTCACCAGGCTAGTTCCCCTCACACAAGCAGCACGGTAACAAGCACCCGCCAACCCTCTTACCGGTCTCTTGATCAACGGGTTTGCGCCCGCCTCCAACAGCTCCTGCACCTGCTCCAGCTGCCCCTCCTCCACCGCATTCAGGAGCTTCTCATCCGCCTCGTCCACCTGCAGCAGGGCTGTCAGATTGAGCTTCCCTGCTAGGGCCACCAGACTCTTCCGTCCTGCACCTGCAACCTGGGCCAGGTTCTTCAGCGCCTCCAACAGTCCCTGCTGGCTGCTTTGGTCCACCTGGTTCCAGCAGAAGTAGCTGTACACCGCCCAGACACGGTCACCCTCATTCCAGGCCTGGTAGATGCCCTGGTGAGTCTCCTCCATGTAGGTCATGAGCCAAGACTTGGTGGGAGCTTCCGCCAGAACGCTGTCTGATTGCCACATTGTGGCAGCCATCTCGAATAGCTGTGCAACCGAGTCCTCCAGGCCCTCAGAAACAAGCATGCTTGCAGTCCTCACTGCAGCTGCAAGGGGCTCCAAAATGCGATCCAGAAGCTCCGCGGCCTCCCTCCCAAGAAGCTTTGCGTAGATCCGTGAGGCTGATTTGTCTTCAGTGCTTGTGATCATGGCGTCTACTATCATGCCCAGCCATGCGTCCAGTGTCAGCCAGTTGCGCAGCTGCTCCTTTCGGCCGTAGCGGGCCATGCGCTCTGCAAGCGTCCATACACGGCTGAAGTACTCCCGGCCCGCCACCAGCTCCCGTTCTAGGATGGTGTTCACCGTTGACGCCGCCAGTTCACATATGCTTGATTGAGCACCGCGGCGTTTTAGCGACCTGGCCGCCTTGACGAGCAGTAATCGCACAACACCATCCCCAGGCAACTGGTTGAAGGTGGGTACAATAATCATGGTGCGTGCACGTGCATAGAAGACCTTACTGCGCATGACCTCCACCATAGGGGAAGTACTGTACTGCGGCACACAGCTCCAGTCGATCCAGACATACTGCATCCCAATCGCTTGAGCCCGTTGCAACACCTCAACAAGCTCCCGGAACTGTGTTGGTGACATGGGTGTGAAGCCAGGCTGCATACTGGCAGGCTTGCTTTTATTCCAACGCCAGCTCAGCACTGCCGTTTGGTTCCAGATGTCGCCGCTGACTTCTGAGTAGGGCACACTGAAGCACTCGGACTTGTTCACTTCCTCAAACACCTTTATGGTGGGCCAGTTGAGCACGGCTGAGATCTTCAGCAGCCGCATGGCCGCATGCTTGATGGTGCCCGGCATGCCATGGTGCAGGTCCGAAATACAGTCAGGCAGGTCATCCAGCGAAACGTTTTCCTGGATGCTGACCAGAAGATTCTGTGTTAAAATGGAGGAGAGGGGGGAAGCAGGTCTGGGAGGGTAGCAGGTATGGGAGGAAGAAGGCATGTTCCTCAACCACATTGTGACCCGTGGATGAACTGGGCGGGGCAGGACGTTTGCTCTCGTGCAAATTACTACAGCGGACAGTAGTAGTACAGGAGTGTTTTGATTAAACCTGGAAAACATGTATAGGGAGCAGGTTAACTAACTTCCTGTGAACACCCCAGCTCAGAAGCCAGACGTCACAGGCTATACCGGTCGCAATTGTCGATAAGGTCTTGTGTATCAACGGGTCGTTTTTCACTTAACGCCTGGTTTCATGCAGGTAGGGCAATTCCGCACCTCATCCCTGGGCTTGGCTTCCGGTGCAGGTGTGGCAGCCCCAAGCCGCCCGGTGTCCTGCAGTTTGAATGGAGATAAAGCCATCAACATCATGCATGGCAACCGTGTGAGGTTGAGAAGACCAAAAGCCGATAAGACATGAAAGCCGTTACACGGGAAACTAGGAAGTGCAAACCTACTGTTGATGACCCGCAGCCCATTTCAGAGAAGTGAAAGAAGGTCTTGACGCAACACAATAATTCAATCCAGTGATAAAGACGGACGCATCGTCGCAAAGTTTTCCGCCAGAGTCGACGGCATGTTAATTATATACTACACACTCTAATAATAATATATTTGGGTTAAATCATGTGGTGGATCCTAGCCTGGGCTAAAAGCGACTCGGAGGGCTCTTCGACGCTCAGAGACCTGCTTTGGTATAATCTTATCAATGCGATAATATTATGTTAAGGGCTAAGGTCGCGATTTATGTTCATATGCACAGGAAAGAAGAAAAGGAGGTGGAGGTAGAATGCAAGGGTGGAGCACGTGGGTACGGCAAGACAAGGCACAATTATGGGGCCTACCCGCCTGTCGTTCGGACTCCCCTGTAAAAATCGCATACCCACCTGCCACACAAGGAAGAATCCCAATGAGTTACATACGTTTTTATGTTCCATGCTGGTCGACAAAGAATACCCTTCACCGTTCCATGCGTCTTGTCTTCTCATAGCTAGCAACATCCCCCAAGCAGCGGACTCAGGGAAGAATCAGTGCTAAAATACGCGATGCTGAAATTTAACCTCGCAATACTAATCAGAACCAAAGTGGGTCTTTTTGGAATACTGCAACCGCCACCCGCCTGGGCCCGGTTCTCCGATGCCACAACTGGCACCACTGCAACTGCCACAATCGGCTCCTCTGCTCTGTCGCCTTCCGTCCGTGCATGTACACTTGCACTGCTGCCGCCTCCAGTTTGGCTGCAACCAGCTGTTACTTGCTAGCTACTGGGCGCTGTCCACCCGCCCGCCTACGTGCACATGTCCTGCATCCATCTACCTCCTCATCGTGCAGCTGCAAGCCACCACTCCAGCTCCCGGCGGCCCACTAGCGCCCTGACCAGCACTGGCTCTGCCTGCATGCACCGCCAGCACTGTTTGTTGCGGGTCAACAGGTGAAGTGCCCTTCAGTGTGGGCCAAACGCCGTCTATTGGGCCGTGTTCCTAACTGTAATGTGCTTCAAGGTGTTTTAAGTGTTCTTCTAGAGTGCCTACTATGTAGTGACAAACACTGCCATCTTCAGCGAGTGGAAAAACTTGCTCCGGCGCACCTACGACCCGCGGGTCGCTACTTTGCTTCCCGGCAACGGCATCAGAGTGACAGCTTACATGCGATGCACCCATGCATTACCGCCATGCGTGCATTTCGAACGCACACACCTGTTGCCAACAAGTATACCTTTCTGTCTGGCTATGACAGGTTGCTGAAACGGTATAGGGGAATTCCGTGTCTCATGCTGCACAGGCAGCGAGTCAGAACCAATCCTCGACCAGATGGGCTGCGTCACGACATTTGCCACATGCAGCTGCGCCCGTTACATTAAGCATCTCCGCTATACTACTACGCTTGCCCTGCATGGCATTTGCAGATGTGGCAAGACAGGAGAGAAGGCAATAGTCAACAAGAGTCAAGACAGCATGCATGCACGTTAGAACCTTGGAAACCTTGCTTGTCAGTTGTCTTTGCTCCAACCGCCGCCGGTTGTCTGTGCACGGTCTGCTCGTACGGCAAGTACCGACGTCTATTGAATGCCGAGCGGATGCATCCTGTGCATTGACGCTACAGAAACCTTGCTTATGCGCCTTCATGAAACTGCCTGGCACTCGTGCCGCCTGGCCCCTAGGTACAACATTCCTCCTACTATACATGGCCTTGCACGGTTCCAGGCAAGCAAAGGTGCAATACCCACCACCGCGCCGACATACCACCACGCCCTTCGTGCGCCTACCTTCACAATCACAGCTGCAGCTCTGCGACCATTATATCTGCCACACACAGTCCACCAGCGAACACCCCTCCACATCCCTCACGGCTACAGCTTCAGCAGGTCGTCCGTCACACTCTGTCCGCCGCCGCTAGCACCAGCACTGGCGGCCCCACCGCCCGCTACCACCCCTCCTCTAACGCTCCCGCCCGCAGCCGCACTCGTCGGCACCCGCAGCCCCGCACCACCACCCGGTGTCACCCCCGCCCCCACCGCCGCCGCACGTCCTGCAGACACCCCTCCTGGAGGACCCGGCGTGTGCCCCCGAGCAGCCGCCGCTAGTGTCGGCGTGCCGTGTCCCAGTGAGGCGGCGGCGGCACTGCAGTAGCTGGCCCTGAGCTGCTTGTCCAGCTCGCCGCTGCCCAGCGCGACCGACCGGGCGGCGGCGGCGGTGGCGGCGGCCGCCGCCTTTGGCGCCGGCACATGCAGGCCACCCCTCCCGCTGCTGCTGCTGCCGCGGCCAGCAGTGCGGACGCCGGCGCCACTGCTCCCGCCGCCGCCGCCGCCGCGCGGTGTCTTGCCGGCCTTAATGCTGGCAGCTAGATGCCGAGCAGCGGGAGATAGCGGCACGGCCAGCGGAGTGGACCCCCGTGCAGTCGCTCCTGCTCCGGCACCGGTACCCGTGGCGCGACGGAGCGCCGTCAGCAGTGGCGTCGAGCCCCGGGCCGTTGCGGCACGGCTGGCGGCGGTCCCGCTGCCCGCCTTGGCGGCCGCCAGCCTGTGAGCTGCTTGCTCCCGCTCCGAGAGGCCCTGTGGGTGGAGGCGTGGGGGAAGGGGGAGCAGATGAATGGGGATGTAAGCACATTGAGCTGCCTGAGCAGGAGAAGCAGCCCAGGCAATGACTGCAACGGAAACGAAGCATAGCGTCAAGCACACAGCCTTCCCTTACCCGTGGGCATCCACCACGCCTTCACCCTCTGTTCACCCGCGGTGTCCCTGCCCGCCCTACGACCATCGACTGCCCGCCCTACGACCATCGACTGCCCGCCCTACGACCATCGACTGCCCGCCCTACGACCATCGACTGCCCGCCCTACGACCATCGACTGCCCGCCCTACGACCATCGACTGCCCGCCCTACGACCATCGACTGCCCGCCCTACGACCATCGACTGCCCGCCCTACGACCATCGACTGCCCGCCCTACGACCATCGCACTTTTTGGACTGCCCGCCCCTGCCCCACCTGCCCACCTCCCCGCCTCACCTGCACCCTGAAGCTGGGTCCCCCGCCGCCCTCCTCCTCCAGCGCCACCGGCATGTCATCCGCCCCCAATCGCAGCGGAGTGGACTCGATGTCACCCCACGTCATCAGCGGCGTGCCCAGCACATCCTCAAACGAAGGAGTGGCCATGGCCGCATAGCCCACCGTGCCGCCACCGGGAGCCGGCGCCCCGGCAGGCAAGCCGGCCACCGCTGCAGCTGCTGCTGCTACCGGGTCCAGAGCTGCTATCGCTTCGGACAGCGCTGACGGCGGAGGCGCCTCCGGAGCCCCCTTCAACCTGGTTCCAGCCTTGTTGATGGCCTTGGGCGGCCCCAGCGCCCGCTCCGCCACCTCCTTGGCGGACAGCGGCACCGCGGGGCGCTGGCTGGAGTCGTAGAAGAGGCAGTTGACGGGCGGTTCCGGAGCGGGCAGCAGCGTCATGGGCGCCTGACCCGAGCTGCCGTACTCGTCGGAGGGGCGCTCCGGGGGACCCTCCAGCAGCAGCTGGCGTGTTTCGGGGTCGCGAGGGTCGGGGCGATCCAGGTGGTGTTGTACCTGCGGGTGCATGAAAGTGGTTGTACGGCAGCGGTGATTCAGTTGTCGTACACGAAGGATATCAAGCCATGCAAAAAGCATCGTGGCCTGGGCTATAGCTGTGCGTACGCTCGCAACGTCGCCGGTAGTTGCTAACCAACCCACATACCAGCTGCTTTGGTCCCGCCACGCCTACCTTTGCCCGCTTGCGCCGGTTATCCTCCTGCAGGATGGCCTGGAAGGAGGCGTTGTCCTCTGACGTGTAGCGATCCAGGAAGGTATCCAGGCTCATGCCAGACTCGGGGGGAGCTCTGCCTGCTGCTGCTGCAACTGCTGACGTGGCGGCTGCAGGGGCACCAACAGGGGCAGCTGCTTGGGAGCCGTCCACTAGCGGCGTCATGGCGGGGGTGCGTAGCAGCGCGGTGCCGGGTGTGGCAGCCGCCCAGCCGGTAGTGCCAGGAGTTTGGAATGGAGGCAGCAGGCCGGGCGTCGCCCGGTCAGCACCAGTAGATCCTGTGGCTGCCGCTGCAGCTGCCGCACGGCGAAGCGCTATGTTGCGTTGTGCTCGCTGCATCTCGCGGATGTCGCCGCTGTTGACTGCTCGAAGCCACTCGAGTTGGTTGGCCATCTTCGGCAGCTCCGGGAAGTAGTCGCGCTCTATTATAGCCTCCAGCTGCTGCGTGTAGGTATCCTCGTCAAGAACTGTAGGTGCTTTGGGCTTGGGCGCGGCTACCGTGTTCGGTGGCCGAGGCGGAGGAGGAGGCATGAGGCGCCGAAGCTCCTCCTCCCGCGACGGTGTGCCCTGGCTGACAAGGGCCATAGCGCAGGATTTCCAAGATGGTCCCTAACGCTGAAGCCCCAGCCAGCCAGACACCAGCTACCCAAATGGTAGAGCCTTCGGTTAAGGTGGCCTTTCAAGGTAGTGCCAAGCACCCAGCCCGTTAAAACAAAGAACTGTTGCTATCTAGATGTCCTCCGCTATTGCTAACGTGCTGCCTGGCTCTGGGCAGTCACAAGAAACTTCCTATGGCGGTTAGGGGCTCTAGATCACCTAACCTAACTGCTCAGCAGGTTATAGTAGCAGCAGGTACCCGATACGGCTAAGAGCCTGAGGTCCTGCCGAAAGGTTCACGGGTTGAGGTGGTAGGCGTAGTGGTGGACGGCTTCCATAGACCTGCCGAGCAATTCACGATGTGGGCTCTAAAGATATGTAGATATTTAACAGTTGTAAATGGCTATAGCTAGAGTACCCTAGCTGCGGAAACGTATGGGAGTTATGTCGTACTACTCAATGTCCCCTTTGGCCTTGGCGCTGCGACTTCCAGTTAAGACGATTCTACCTCGTAGTTTGTTTGGCCATAGCTTTGAAGTATGGAAATCACGTGTTGCCAGTTCTTATCACTTGCAGCTTACATACCTTACTTACCAAGACAAGCTCCCCAACCATGCAATGGAATGCCACATAACCAATCATCATATGGGTCGTCAGTTTTACTACGTGTACTAGCAATTGCGCGGTAGTGTAGCGGTTGCCAGCATCGACGTCAACCGCTCAGTGGAAATGTTCTCGAGAGCTCTTTTATCCAGGCCAAGCATCTAGCTTTTCTCCCTACCTTCACATCCACATCCAATTTCAGCACTCTGGCTTTAACTACTTTGCGGCCGGCTCTCCATCCAAGTACCTCGCAAACTTCATAGCTTCTTGCCTAGCCGCCCTCCATGGCAGAAGTCATCCATCACAGCCGCAATCGCGCGCCCCCCGGCGTCCAGGGCCCTATGCTTCATGCGCCGACCGCCCAGCACCCCGGGCTGCCCCCCGCCCCAGCCGCCCCGGCTGTCCCCTGGGTGCCCGCTGCCGGCTCCCAGCCACTGCCGAGCCCACTGGGGGCGGAGGCGGGGCTCAGACACAAGCAGGTATGTGCGGGGGGCGGCATCGGGGAGTTCCCGCCGCGCTCTCCGTTGTCCTTCACTTGTACGGCTGGGGCTTGCATGCTTGCTTCCTCCTTCCATACCCCGGATTCCGTACCGCCTGCCGGTATTATGCCGGTTGGCTCACTGATGCGCCTGACCTCACTCCTACCTTGCCTCCCCCTCGGACTTCTCCGCCGCCGCCTCCTCCTTGTCCAGGTGGAGTCGTTCGTGGGCGCCGCTGCTGCTGCTGCCGCTGCCGCTGCCGGGGGCGCCGATGACGATGTGGGTCGGGCTCGCCGCCGCCGCACCCCCTCGTGAGTCGTTCCCCCTCCCCAGCAGCCCCCGCTTGCCTTGCCCAGTTGCCCTGCTTGCCCTCACTGAACCCCGCCCTGTGCACCCTCCCCCCCACCCCCCCGCGTGTGTGTTTTGATTCCCCGCCCACTATTCCCTCCTCCCTCCTCCGATTCCCCCGCCCCTCCAGCGGTATCGCGGCCCCCTACCAGAAGGCCGCTGCTCAGCGGGCTGCGGAGCGAGCGCTGAGGCCCTGGGACCCGGCAGCGGGGCTGGGGGAGCGGCTGGGGGCGCAGATACAGGTAGGGGAGGCGGGCAGCAGGGGCTGGGGGAGCGGCTGGGGGCGCAGATGCAGGTAGGGGAGGCGGGCAGCAGGGGGTGGGGGAGCGGCTGGGGGCGCAGATGCAGGTAGGGGAGGCGGGCAGCAGGGGCTGGGGGAGCGGCTGGGGGCGCAGATGCAGGTAGGGGAGGCGGGCAGCAGGGGCTGGGGGAGCGGCTGGGGGCGCAGATGCAGGTAGGGGAGGCGGGCAGCAGGGGCTGGGGTTGGGGGGTAGGGGCAGGAGGGCAGCCGCACAGCCAGAGTCACTCAGCGGTCGCCACAGCCTCCCCGTGCTTGCACGACGGCGACCCGCAACCCACCGCCCACACACACCCGCCAACCGCCGACCCGCCACCACGCAGGCCAACAACGGACACAGCAGTGCAGCAGCAGCAGCGGCGGCCTACTCCCACCCCGCCGCCCCCTCCCTCTTCGCGCCCCCCTCCCCCGCCCACGCCGCCGCAGTGGCTGCTGCTGCGGGCCGGGTGGCGCGAGGCGGGCAGGGGCAGGGGCAGGCGGCGGGCGCCTACTCGGTGCTCCCCGGGGCCCCCCCGCGGGAGCTGTGGGCGGTGGGGGCGGCGGCGGGGCCACCCAGGTTCTGTACGGCATGCAGAGGTGAGGGGGCGGCGGGAGGAACGTCCGATTAACCGCGCGGCAAGGCGTGTGGAGGGAGGACGGGTGGGGCGCGCTGGGGTTTTGAGTAGGCGAGTCTGAAGGGAGTGAGAGTGAGGCAGCGTGGGCCCTGCATGCGTGCAAGTGCGTGCAAAGCCCCTGCCCCCTCCCACACTTCCCTCCCTGCCTTCCATCCGCCCCCCCTCACTTGTTGCACTTCTTTATACCCCCCCCCCCCTCACCCCAACCCCCAGGCGAGCACGACGAGTCCAAGGTGTCCGACCCCTCCTGGCAGCCCTACTCCCCCGCCGCCCGCCTGACCAACCTGATGCTCCTGGACTCCGGATTCAAGGTACGACACCCGGGACCCCGGCAGCAGCAGCGACTGCGGCGCCGTACACCTGCCGTACCGCACCGCGGGCAGTCAGGGGGTGCTCCGCTAGTCCGCTAGGGGGTTGCTCCGCTAGGGGGGTAACACCGCTTGGGGGAAAACTCAGGCTGCTGGTCACACAGCAGCTACCGGTACAGCGCAGTCGCTCCTGCTCCCCAAGCCCTAGCCAGTCGCCCCCTCCCACATCCGCCCCCCCCTCCGTTCCCCCCCCCCCTCTCCCCCCCAGCGCGCCCAGCGCACCGGCCTGCTGCGCTGCTCCCCCGGCAGCAGCAGCTGGGCGCCCGTGAGGTGGGCGGAGCAGCCGGCGGGCATGAGTGCCGAGGTGTTCAAGCGGCAGCTGGTGCTGGCGTTTGAAGGTGGGAGGGGGGTGGAGGGTCGGAGGGGTGGGGCATCGTCCTTGCAGCCCTTGGCATCCCGCTTACCCTTATTCGCCGCACTAGCTTACATCCCTCACCTCAACCTCCCACCCACCAAAAAGGCCTGCGTGAGGGTCACGAGCCCTACCGCTTCCTGGCCACCCGGGCCGCGGAGGAACTGATCGACTGCCACCGACCCGCCGCTGCTGCTGCTGCTGGTGGTGGCAGCGACCCGCGGGTCGGCACCTCGCTGGTCGCGGAGGCGGTTCCGGAGCTGGTCGCCCCGCTGAAGCTGTGTTTCAACACGCTGCAGCCGCAGCTGGTGGGCGGGGCGCTGCTGGTGTTGAGGAGGTGAGTAAGGGGGGGGGGAGGGAGAGGGAGGGCAAGGGGGTGAGGGGGTGAGAGCGGGGAGATGGCAGAGGCAGCGGTTGAGCTGGGCGGTCCAGTCACTAGCTTGTGCGGGCTGGGAGTCAGTGCTGGACAAAGCTGACTTGAAGGAGCTTTCCCCATTCACCTCTAAACCCACCAAGGATGTCGCTCACCCCTACTCTCCCTGCCCCTGTCCCCCTGTCCCCCCCTCGCTCCCAGGCTGCTGCTCAGCCACCCCTCCGTCGCCCCCGCGCTGGCCCCCGCCTGCCCCCACCTGCTGCCCGCCCTCGCCCTCTTCAGACACCACCACACCCGCCTGCTGCTGCCCGCACCCGCCTGCGTGGCGCCCACGGGGACCTTCGCAGGCGGCCCCGACCCCGGTGGTGCGGCGGGGCGCAGCTGCCGAGTGTGCGGGGTGCGGCTGGGGGGGCAGCGGGGGGCGGGCAAGCAGCGTGGAAGAGCCGCAGGAGCAGGAGGGCGGCATGCGGGTCAGTACGACCCGGCAGCGGTGCTGGCGGCGGCGCAAGACCCGGATGACGCTGCTGCGGAGGCGGAGGCGGCGGCGGCCTCAGCGAGCAAGCGGCTGCCGGGGCGGTCGTGTAGGAGGTGGGTGCGGGGGTGCTGACGTGCCCGCACGTAGGGCAGCGCGTCGCTAGGGGTTGCGGTAAGCCGCCCGCCCCTGGAGCCGCTCATGTCCTCGGCCCCGGCCCCGTTACAGCCCCCGCTAGCCCTACCTTTTCCTCCTTCACTCCCTCCCCTTGCACCACAACCCCCCCCCCCCGCCCCCCCCCCCGCAGGTACCGGCTGTCGGAGCTGATCGAGGAGGTGCTGGGGCTGCTGGCGGGGGCGGGCGGGCAGGTGGGCAGGAGCCAGGTGCGCAGCTACGTGCCGGACTTCGGCTACCTGCACCACCAGGTGGGGGCGGAGGGGGGCGGAGGGAGGGGGGCGGAGGGAGGGGGGCGGAGGGAGGGGTGCGGAGGAGGGGGGGGGGGGCGGAAGCAAAGCCGGCGAGCAGCCTCCCTGGGTTCCCCTGCTGGATTGCAGAGGCGCTTGCGGCTGTGAAGTGCTGTGTTGCGGCTGCGGTTGCTGAGTGAGCCCTCCCTCCGCCGCCCTAACCCGCCCACTCCCCCAACAGGAGCAGCCGGCAGCAAGCAACAATCCCTGGCAGCAACAACAGCAGCGCCAGCGCCAGGAGGAGGAGGAGGAGGAGCGGCGAGTGGCGGCAGCAGCCCAGCGACGACGTCAGCGGCCCCGCAGTGCACCCAGACCCACCTCCCAACCATGGCAGCAACAACAAGCAGCCCTGGCGGCGGCGGCACCGCGACCTGCTACTGCCGCTGCCGCTGCTGCTGCCTCTGCTGCCGTCAGCAACGTGAAGGGCGCTGCGGGGTCGCCGCCTCGGCGCCCCAGCACTGACGGCGGTAGAGGCAGGTCCGCCGGAGGTGAAGGCGGAGGCCACCCGCCCCTGCCCGACTGGCGATCCTCCATTCGCCTCTCAGCCGCCGACCTGGCGCGCTGGGACGGCATGCAGTTCCGAGATCTGCCGTACGACCCCGCAGCAGGAGGAGGAGGGGTAGGGCACGTCGGCGGTGACGTCAGCAGCGGCGGCGGTGGCGGCGCGGCGAAAGGCGGTGTACGACAACCCGCCGCCGTCGGCGGCGGCGGCAACTGCCACTCCGCAGGTGTTGGCCCCGTGCTGCATGTGTGCAGTGTGGTCCCCGTGTTTGACAGTCCGCACGATCCCCTGTTCCGGGTGATGTCAGCGGAGCAGGCGGCGGAGGCGGAGGCGGCGTACCGCGGCCGTACATTCGTACATCAGGGGAGATCAGGATCTGGATCCAATCAGGGGAGAGTCGCGCGGGGGAAGAAGGCTGGTGATGTGGTACGGCACAGCACCGGTGGTGGCGGCGGCAGACGTGGTTATACGCCTAATGTTAGTGCTGAGGTGGCGTTCAAAGATTCGCCGGCGCGGCTCCGTCTGGGGTTTCGAAGTCGGCTGGCGGTGGAGGGTGCTTAAGCAGGCTTGCTTAGCGGTGTTAGGGGGGAGGCATGAATACGGGCCGTCTGGGGATGCGTGCGTAAAGGAGCAGGAGTGGGTGGTCGGGACGACAAGCGATAACCGGTGCGTCCTAGGCCATGCATGTCACCAATTACAGTTATATTGTATGTTGCGATTACCGGTACGCCGCGCTGTTTTCTTGCGAGTGCGACGGAGCTCCCTGCTGGATACCCGGTGGTGGAGGTGGTGGCGGTGTGATGGAGGCGGTATGATAGCAGCGGTGCCACAGTGTGGACTGTGAAGGTCTGTGATGGCCTTCAATGGTGTCTTACAGCTGGAGCTGGTGTCTGGAGTGCGCATACGTGCGTAGGGTGCTAATGTTGAGCAGCTGGAGTGTTGGCGCGTTTGTGCTGCACTTGGGGGGTGGTGATGTACACGCAGATGGTACGCTCCCTTTACCTTGCACCCCCCGGTGTCACTGAGGTTTGTTGACACACACACCGTAGGGAGGTGGGTAAGCAGGTTTCGGGTACCATTGGCACGTCACCAGGAAGCAGAACGGTCTG